AAAGAAGAGTGATCCTTTTGTTTAGTGACCAAGGGTATGGTTATTGTAAAGAATCAACTCTCTGAGATATTGGAGACTAAAGGAACCCTGAAATCACGATTGGAATGATAAAAAGTTTATCGAATGAGACTGAGTTTGAGATTGAATCCAAGATCGAGTTTGAGACCGAGTTTGAGATCGAGTTCAAGACCAACTCTGAGACCGAGTTCAAGACCAAGTCCAAGATCTGAGATTGGGTTTGAGACTGAGTCCGACATCAGGTCCGAAACTGAGTCCGACATCAGGTCCAAAACTAAGTCCAAGATCAAGTGTGAGACCAAGTCCAAATACTAATTTAGGTCGTGGGGTGAAAGCCTAAAGCGTGTGTTTCCCAAGGGGGATGCTGTAGAGGGTTCTAAAAGTATAGTAGGGATAGTGAGGTCTAGGAATCAATCTTGAAAGAACTCTCTAGTGGTATTTCCAAACTAACTTGAGGTTGAGACTAGGGCCTAAGGGCATCAGGTGGGAGTGAGCATGGATTGGAGTGGTGTTGGAGGGGCCACCCAAGAAAATGCTCAAGAGCAACTCCCATTCCTAGAAGGGACATGACTATAGTGCTTCTGGCTTATATGGAGTGGTGCCCCACTTGAGTATCTTATAGCTCATTGGTTTTCGCCCCTTCCTAGAGGCTTGGGCCTTCCCTTTTGGATGGAAATGCGGGAGTAAGGGTACCTATATCGAGCCATTAAACCACAGTGTTTCCCCTAGTGTCCCGAAGTAAGTATTACATCCAAGGCTTGGGATTTAGAGAGTCCCATGATCAAGTTTTGTTGTACTAAAAGATGTTAGGGACTTAGAGGCTTGGTGTGCTTGGTTGCTTGTGCTTGTAGGAAGTGTAATTGAACCTTAAGTCCAATTTAATTCAAGAAGGGGGATTGAAAGAGAATTTGGGAATCCATGGATAGATGGTTAATGTTCTATTGCTTGTGTAGTGAGTTGTTAAAATTAAATAGGACCAAGTAAAAGCTAATATAATAAGTGGGAATTTTGGCGAGGGAGCTTAACTAAGGCCAAAGTAGTGGTGGTTGGATAGATGTAAGTGACTAAAGTAGAATGGAAAATTTAGTTGTTTATAATGTTATTAGGGAAGTTTATATTACAATTAACCTCATTATTCAAGTAATAAAGTTAAATCTTTACTACTCTATATTGCTCTATACAACTATAGAGCTATTGTATAAAGCTCTATTACTTAGATAATAACGTTATGGGAGGGTTGTAGAGAAACATTAGATAATCAAGAAATTATTAATATCATGATTGCGGGAGGGTTATATAACTATAGTTGCTCTATATACATCCCACAACCATGACATTAATAATTTCCTTTTGAAACTCAAAACTTTAGTCATTTATGACTATTAGAATATCCCATAAGAAATGAAGAATGTATATGTGACAAAAGTTCTAAGCCTTCTTTGTGGGCTGATTTGAACAGTCTTTAAACATTTGTATAACACCCAATAGCTCTCTACCAACTCAATCATCTAATGTTTTGAATTCTATACAACTTTAGTATTGCATAGTTAAATTTTTGCTTCACTGTCACAAGTACTTCTAATTTATTTGAGCTCTTTGAAAAGAAAGTAATTACTTTATTAACAAATTAATTGTAAGCAATTAAATTTTTTATTCTACTTTAGTCATTTTAATGACCATTTAGAGGAATCTCACTCATAACCTCTATGGGTCCTCATCCTAATTTAAGGTAATTGCTAAGAGTGATCTCAAAGCCATATTGATTTCACACTTTGTCCAAATTCTCTATATATCAAAATTTTATTTTAGACACCTACATAGCTATAAAATCCTAATTATAACCTATTGCCATAATTTTATATGCATTGTTATATTGTTATAGCTTGAAAATGCCCTCATCTTTTTTAGCATGCTTTGTCATGTCTATTATGGTTTATATATTTCATTTCATTACAAAGCCTTCATACTTCCTTTGCTCTATCACTCTTTAGTCAAAAGTGAAAAAATAATATAAATAAAATGTCTCTACCCCATATGTAAATGTTATTTTACACCTATTGAGTATACAAATCCTTTCACAATTAAGTGACTTTATTGGGCAATTTTCACATAATATTGCTAAAACAATATATAGAGAGTGTACTTCTAAAAAACTTTGCTAAAGCATAGTAAATTCTATCCTTGAGCACAAAGCATGACATTATGCTTAAATTAGATAAGTGATAAAATTATGCTTCACCTCTTAAGTGTACAAATCCTTTCATAATTAAGTGACTTTATCAGGCATTTTTCACACAATACTACTAAAATAATATATAAAGAGTGCACTAAGTTCTAAAAAACTTTGTTTATCCTTGAGTATAAAGTATAACACTATGCTCAAATTAGCTAAATGACAAAGTTATGCTTTGTGCATTTTACAACTACCCATTTGTTCAAAATACAAAGAATAGAGAACAAACCAAGTTATAGGCTTAATGGTTTTTCTCCATCATACATAGAATATAACTTCAGTCATTTTTGGCAAATGTATAGTTATATAAGTCTCTTAGGCTTGTAACTTTAATCACATTTGGCAAGTGTATAGTCTTTTGATGGGCCCATATAACACATGACATGCTACTTTGTTTAATTGCTTTAGACTATAGTGGCCCTTAACTGCCATATTGCTCAATTGGATGGAGAACTTCAAATGTGTTATTTATATAAAATTGATTTTTATATAGTATATATTCATTATTTGTAGAAGATAAATATATATGGGTAAATATACTACTCTTTGCTTTTTAATAATACAATTATTGAAATTCATATATGGTGATAATACAGAATTTAGTTTTCCAAATAGCATAAATGATGTTGATATGAGTACAATTGTTGATGCTATTGATAGATTAATAGCTTTTATTGATCAGAAGAAAGAAGATTATCCATTAAATTGGTCTGATAGTATATCAATAGTTTTAACTAGTGGAATTGTTCTTATTAAAATTTCACGTTATACAGGAAATACTCCTAATTGTGAAGCAAGTGGAGAATATGGTTATACTTTAGGACGTTCTTTATATGAAGGGCTTAGAAGATTATATCAAAAATATTTTGATAAAATATTATTTGCTGCTGCAAATTCCATAAGAATTACTTCTAAAAAGTTTGAAATTTATTATGATCGGGATGGTATATCAGAACCTGAAAATCCTGAATATTATATTAATTCATCTATGAATAAACCAAAATCATTAAATGATTGCTATGTTTTTGTAAGCATATTAATAAGTGGAAAAAAGCTAAACCACTATCATACTTTATTTCAAGAAAATTTTCTAATATCTCCAAATAAAAAAAATATATTACTACTACATTTAAACTGTAATCTTGTACTTTATTCTGGACAAAATATTATTTGGGAAACAAACACTGGAAAGAGAAATTATATTAACTGCTTTCTACAAAATCAAATTAGTGGAAATATAATTTTATTTTCATCATTATACAAAGTAGAGTGGAGAACAAATTTATTTTGTAAGAAAAATCCTATTTGTACTTTTCCAACATTTTTAAGTCTTCAAAATGATTGTAATTTAGTTTTATATTCATCTAGTTTTCCTAATAAACCCTTTTGGTCAACTAAAACTTATAAACATAATTTATGTTTAAAATAATTTAAAATAAAATAAAAAATAAATTTTTTTTAAAAAATTCTTATAATATTATATACTTTAATAAGTGATGTATAAAGCAATGCAATTAAGCACTAATAAAAAAGGCACTGATAGTGCAATAAGTGTTGAATCCTTTCCTAGTTGGAAATAATGGATTCTCTAGATTTCTCTAGTTTTTAGTGTAACCAAAGGTATTGAAAGTGGAACTTATCCCATGGAAGTCTATCAAACATGTGAAGGGAAATTATTTCTTACATGTTTACAATATTGTAAGGAATGTCTTGACTTGGACTTAAGGTCCTACACTAGAATATTGTTAGTTTTTCTTTTTCTTTTTCTCTCTCTAGAGGTTTAACAGCAAGAACATACTAGATTGACTTAGCTGTAGAAGCCTTCTTGGGAATGGTGGCCATGACGAAGAAGAAGAGTTGCAGAGGAAGGTTATAGTGAAAATTCTAACACCACAAAGATTTGTTTAGTTATTTTATTTCAAAATGCTGTTAGCTAATTATAATAAACTAAATTCATTATCCAAATTTAACAGAGAACACAAACTTTTTAAATGAACCCCTATTGCCGAGAGAGAATTATTGCACCTTTCAGCAAGAATCCCTATCACTAGGAGTAAATTTGCAAATTTGAACATGCTTTTAGTCCATCTCAGACTGTGTAATACTGCAAAAAGTAGTGGGGTGTTTTTGGTGAATGTTGCTTATGGGATGTATAAATCAACTGGAGTTATAAGCTCTATCATGGATTGGTTTTCACACAGTTTTGATGGTCGTTCTAGGTAGTTGTCTATTTTCTGCTCCAATCAGTTTGATAACAATAAAGGAAACTCTTTAGAGAATTCATAGAGCTGAGAGTGGCTAGGAAGAGGCCAAGTTGGAGTAAGAAAAACTCACTGGAGCCTTGTAATTGCCATCCCTGGTTTTGCGAGCCCAAATGTATGCAACATGTCAACATGGATGGAGAATCTACCCTGAATATCTGCTATTACTAGTCTTCCGCTGGAGTATAGAGGGAAAACACCATCCAATGGCTCGTGTGGCAGAACTTGGTTTTCTTGGAGTTTTCTCACAGGGGAAGAATTGTGAGGATTGATACTACCTGCCAAATTAGGGGGAGTATCTTGACGGTGGGAGAGTTTTGTTGTAGACGAATCAGTGATAGAGGTTGTTTTAGTTCGAGCTTGAGCTGGATCGCTTCGAATGCCTCCGAGAGATCCAATGTTGCAAGAGCCTCTCCAACGCCGTGCTAATTCACGCACGCATCCCGGCTGCCAATGGCGATACTTTCCTGGCAAACAAGCTTATCGAGATGTACGGGAGGTGCGGCAGCGTGGAGCATGCCCGGAAGGTGTACGACAGCATCGTGTCCAGAGATACCTTCTCGTGCTCCTTAATGCTCTCGGCATATGCCCGCAATGGGCTTATCTGCGAGGCCGAGAAGCTCTTTGGCGACGTCGAAAGGCCAGACAAGGCAGCATGGACCATCATGCTGACGTTGTATGCACAAAACGGGAATATAGGAGATGCTTCGAAGATCTTCCGAAACATGCCAGACAAAGACCTGGTTGCGTGGAATGCTATGGTTAATGCATATGCCGAAACAGGGCAAATGGATATGGCAAAAGCGTTGTTTGATTCCATGCCGCTTCGAAATGTCGCGACGTGGAACACTCTGCTATCTGGGTTTTGTTACTGCGGTGATATTAATTTAGCGAAGTGTGTTTTTGAGGAGAATCCAGAGCCTAATATTCTAACCTGGACTGCCCTGCTTTCGGCATATGCCCAAAGAGGGTATCTTGATCACGCGAAAAAGGTGTTTGATGACATGCCTTTGAGGGATATAGTGGCGTGGAGTGCTTTGTTGGTGGCAAACGCAAAGGCAGGGCGTTATGACGTTACGCAAAATCTATTCTCCGAGATGCCGGAGCACGATCTTGTGGCTTGGAATTCCAAGATCATAGCACACGGCCAAGCTGGGAATCTGGAAGATGCCAAGAGAATTGTCTCCGAGGAGCTCCCCGTGAAATCTCTGGCTTCATTCAACGCGCTTCTCTCTCTCTTCTCCAGAGAGAATAAACGTTTTGAGGCCGAAGAGCTATTCTTTACTGTCATGCCAGAGAGAGATCTCGTCTCGTGCAACCATATGCTAGCCTTGTACGCGGAGCTCCAAGATTCCTCTACATGCAAAAGGATATTCGAAGAGATGCCCCAAATAAACACCATCTCTTGCAACTCCATGCTCGTCGCATTTGCCCACGACGGGCATATCCAGCACGCCAAGTCCCTGTTTGGCGCGATCCCCGACCCCGATCTTGCCACGTGGACGGCGTGTGTCGCGTCGCTTGGCGAGGCGGGAAGCATCGACGCTGCCAAGGCGATGTTTGACACAATGCCAGCATGGGACCTGGTGACGTGGAATGCCATGGTGTCTGCGTACGGCAGAGCTGGGCTCGTGCGTCCAGCTGGTCAGCTGTTCGATTCCATGCCGGAGCACTCACTTGTATGTGCGAACGCAATGCTATCGGCGCTGTGCCAATGCGGGCATTTGGAAGAGGCCAGAGAGCTCTTGGAGCGTTTACCCGAACGAGATGTAATCTCGTGGAGTGTGATTCTTGGGTGTTGTAGCGATCATGGCAAGTTCGAGCAGGCGAGCGAGATCTTTGAATCAATGCCGGAGCACGATTCTATCTCTGCCACAGCTATCGTCGCCGCAAATGCTCGTAGAGGGCATCTGGATGATTCGTTTCGAGTGTTCAGATCTATGGCGGAGCACACTTGCAATGCTGTGGCAGCTCTCATCACAGGGCTTGGGAAGTCTGGCAAGTTACATGATGCAAAGAAGATGTTTGATGCGATTCCATTCAAGAACGCAGTGGTCTGGACTGCGCTTGTCACGGCTTATGCCTTACGAGGGCATGTTGAGGACACGATGATCTTGTACGACAGGTATATGCCAGAGCATAGTCTTGTGTGTGGAACCTCTCTGATCGGTGTTCTTGGGCGCAGCGGCTGTTTAGATGAAGCTAGATGTGTTTTCGAGAGCTTTCCAAGCCACGATTCTTTAGCTGTGAGTTCCATTATATGGGCTTATGCCCTGAATGGGTATCTAGGAAAAGCAAGAGAAGTGCATGATCTTTGGAGAGACCCGAGCTTGCTGTCCTGGAAAGCCATGCTAGAAGCTTATTCTCATGCTGGTAAAGTCATCGAAGCGAAGAGGGTGTTTGATCAATCTCCGGAAAGAGATGTTTCGTTTGATGCTTTGATGGTTGCTGCATATGCCCGGGGCGGAGATCTAGATCAAGCGCTTGAGTTTTTCTTTTCCCTTGACGAGCTAAACGAGAGCTGCTTCATTTGGATCCTCGTTTCATGCAGCCGCTCCGGCAAAGTCTCCACGGGGATCCGACTCTTCGTCTCCATGGTTGCGGATTTCTCCTTGAATCCTTCCAAGCAACACTACAGTTGCGTTGTTGATCTCCTGTGCCGAGCCGGGCATCTGGGCGACGCTCGAGAGCTAGTCAAAAGCATGCCTTTTGTGCCGGACGGCCTGGAGTGGAGATGCGTGCTTGCAACCCACGGACCGATCGATGATGCCACAGTTGCAGCACGCTCTACTTTGGATGTGAATCCGGATCACGGTGCTGCCTATGTGCTTCTCGCAAATGCGTCGATGGAAGCAAAGCGATAGCCATTTCTTCTTCGCAAGCAAGAAGAAAGCAAGCCTTTCGAATCAAGGAAAGCTAAAGCTAGAAGAAAACTAAGACAATGAGATCCCAGGTTCGAATCTTGACACGACATAAAATCTACGCTAATGCGTTTTTCTCGTCCAATGCAGGTAGATCTCCGGGTTTTCAAGGTCTTCAAGGCGGGCATCTTATCTCCTGACTGAGCACAGAGCGTGACACTTAGTGGGTTCTTTGGTGTTCTTCCCAAGTTCCCGGATTGTAGCGTCTCTGTCGCTCGGAAGGCCAAATGGAAGCGGGAAAGGATGTTATTCGGCTGGAGCGTGAGCCATTCATCGTGACGATGAAGCCCAAGCTGATAATTGGGCTAGCTGACAGTCTCGGTGAGTGGATTTCTTCGCTTTTTTTTCTTCTTCTAAACCTTTGACACACAACATTTTTTCTTACAATGCAGAGCAAAAGGCGGATCAAGCTGATTTTCTCCTCCTGTGCAAAAGAGTGGAGGCTTTCATTCGTGCATGGTACCATGTCCAGTTTGAAGAGCTCATGGTAAACTTTCACTGGTTTTACGGTGTTTTGCTCACATGATCGCGAGATACCTTGCAGCAATTGTACGCCTTGTTTGATCCGGCAAATGGTGGCAAGAAACTCGAAAAGCAGAACCTTTCTGCAGCTAGAGTCGACGAGCTGGAGCAGCGATTCCTGGATATTTACGCCATGGTAATGTAGCTACAACTTGATTGCAATGCTGGTGGCTGATGCTTGCAGTGCTCTTGAAGCTCATGGAGAAGAGCAACTTTAAAGTTCTGTCCGATAACGAGTTCCGTGTTGCGACTTCGGGCCATTATCTTCTCAATCTTCCCATTTCTGTTGATAAAAACAAAGTATAAGCAACTTCTTTTTCTATGGACTTTCGAGACATGAACTGATTCTATCATCTTTGGCTCAGCTGGATTCGAAGCTCCTCGGCAAGTTTTTCGAAAAGAGAAAAGACTTGGAGATGCCAACTTACACTAACCAGGTAAATTCACGTCCGTGTTCATTCTTTTCGAGTTTCTTGTTCACATGTACTATGCAGTATGTGATGTATCGCCGAGGCATTGGGCTTGATAAAAGCACTGATGCATTTATCAGCGCAAAGCTGGACGAATTGATTTCGAGAGCTTGGGATTGGATCCTGGGGCTTTTGAGGTGACTGCTTTCGCTGTGTTTTTTTCTCATAGAAAGCCAATCTCAATTTCCAGGTTGCGGAAGCTGTTAGGACGTGAGCAGAACAAAGCACAGCCTGGTCCTGCCGATGGCTCTTCTGCGTTAAGCGACACCGAACAGTATGTGGAGAGAATTCGCATCCAAAACATGAAAATTACGTAAGCTCGGGATGAGCATTTTTCACAAAGGTGAAATATTTTGATGGTCCTTTATTTCAGCTTTGGAAACTTTCTCAAGAAGACTACCATCCAGGAGCCTACGTTTGAGCGACTTATTTTGTTGTACAGGTAGACGCAATAGATGATCCTTGATCTTGATGTAATCACAAGGTTGAGTTTAAAATGCAGACTGGCAACACCCCGGCATGACACCAGTCCATATGGTAATCGAGGAATTTGCATCAAGCAATTCAAGCACGTCCCAATGGCAGACGTTGAGCTCGTTCTCGTAAGTAGAAAACGTTTTTTTCTTTTTTCTTGTTTTTGAGGCTACTTTTCTTTGTCCTCTCTTTTAGCCAGAGAAGAAGAACCCGAGCTTGACAGCAATGGATTGGGTGAAATTTCTACTCTCAGCGATCATTGGCTTCGTAAGCTTTTCTTTCCATCAACATGCTTAGAGTCGATAACGTTTTTGTGACGAACTCACAGGTTGCATTTTCGGGTACACTAGAAGCACATCCGTCTGATATATGGGTCGCTTTAGCTATCCTTGGTGGCTTTCTTAGTTACTGCGCTAAGATCTATTTCACGTAATAGTTCCTCTTCTCCTATTTTCTTACGCTTCATACTAATGACCTTTGTCCTGAAGGTTCCACGCTAACATGATGGAGTACCAGCGGCTTATCACCAATTCGATGTACGACAAACAGCTCGATAGTGGAAGAGGAACTTTACTGCATCTTTGCGACGATGTGATCCAGCAAGAGGTAAATAAAACTCATTGATTTTCTTTTCTCATACTTTCGAAATTCCAGGTGAAGGAGGTGATCCTTGCTTACTACGTGCTGATGACGAAAGGCAAGCACACCATTCAGGTATGCCTTTCACTCTTGTGTAGAAAGAAACACAGCTGATTGGATTTTTCTCTTGCTCTAAAGACTCTGGACGAGCTTTGCGAGGAGGTGCTGCTGGAGGAGTTTGACGAGAAATGCAACTTTGAAGTCGAGGATGCCGTGAAAAAACTGGAGCGTTTGGGAATCGTATCCAAGGTAACTTTTTTCAATCACGTTTTTATCACGTGAATGGGCGTCTATGCAGGATTCATTGGGAAGGTATGCGCCCCACCCTCTGAAAAGAGCAAACGAAATTATTGGGATAACAACTGACGAAGTTGTCGCTAGAATCTCGTCGGCGTGAGTTGTATATCGTGTCGTTTTTCCATTCTTTTTTTTCCAAAGTTAATGTAGCTTTTACGTATTCCGATACCTTGCTTTAGTAGCTGATAGCGTGCTGGTTTCTCGGGCTTTCTTTCGTTTGTGTTCATAAGCAAGATGTAACAGTCTAGGGACAAGCCGGAGGTCATGGACCAGAAGAAGAACATACTCAAGCTTCCTCTTGAGTCGGGCATTTCGGTTTCCAAAGCCGAGTTGATCGACAGGCTCGCCGAAGGTGGTAAGTCTCTCTAGTTGAATCCGCATTGCAAAATTCATGTGACCGTCGCTTTTCTTCTTTAGTTGAAGACAAGGACAGCTTCAAGCAACTGTGCAAGAGAATCGAAAGGCTGCTACTTAAACATCAAGACGAGGAGTACAAGGAGCTCAAGGTACTCACTCATTCATTCACCTGGAGGACATTTATCGTTCGTGATTGTGGTGTGACAGGCGACCTATGCGAAGTTAAATCCTCGTGACAGTGAGCTCCCAGTTGACGAGTTTAATGTTGAAGCTCACGAGCAAAACTTTCTACCAAAGTTTTTCCAGGTACGTAGAAGTGCTGTGATTGAGATTCAAAAGCACTCGCGTGGCTACTATTAGCTCATGGAGCGAGGGAGATACAAGCAACTCACGGATGAAGAGTGGAGTGTGGCGACCTCCAGCCGTTACCTTCTCAAACTTCGCATTCGGATTGACCGCAATAAGGTGCGTTCAAGGTAAAACTTAAACCGCTGGAACTTTTGACTTTAATACGCTTGACAATAAGTATACTGATTGTGCAGCTCGACACGAGGCTCCTCTCCAATTCCTTCGGGTTAAAACAATCCCAGTTCACCAAAAACCAGGTACATCAATCAATGAAGCAGCGCCTCAACTCTAACACGCTCCTAAGCAGTTTGTTATCTTCCATCGAGGTGTAAGCACTGACCAACAATCTGGCTTGTATGTCCTCCTGAAACTGGAGGCCCTCTGGAAAAGTCTGAAAAACTACATTGTCCACGCCCTGTGGTAAGTTGTTCGCTCCTTGCACAGATTTTGTCGTAATTTTTTCACGTTTGTTGACAGCGAGAGGGTTGAAATGCCGGTCGAACAGGCCACGCCTCCCAGGAGCGCACTGGAAGCTGGGGAGACGAGGTTTCAGGAAGTGGAAAGATTTCATGCGGGTGACATCAGGTGGTCTTTCTTACACTGTGTGATCTCCAAAGTTCATCTTTTTTCCAATGAATGAACGTATGATGCTCACATGAAAGCATGCATAGGCTAAGCGACCTCTTCCGCAAGGCGCGGGTACAGGAGCCTATTTACAAGCACGTTGTGGTCCTCTACAAGTATGATTTCTATCTCTCTTGTTTTCTTTTTCTTTTCTTATCCAAGACCATTGAAGAGAAAAAAGAGGAAAGTGTTCTCCAGGCGCTTGGAGCATGGAATTCGTATCAAGCACTACGTGGATGTGCCTTTGGCGGACATGGAGCTCGTACTCGTACGTTTCATTCCGACTTGACGCTAAAACTTTACGATTTTTTCTTCATCTTAACAGCCCGCGAAGAAAGCTCTTCGACCGAGTGGAGCAGACGTCTTGACTTTCGTCCTCTTCGTGATCTTTGGCTCGGTAAGTGTTGATTTTCTCAACTTTTGGTCTCATCCCGGTGCCAAACTTTCGAGTCAATTCTCGCAGGTTATGTTTAAGGTCCTTCAGAGAAAGCAGCCATCAGTAGCAGCTGCTATCTTGGCAGCGTGCATTCTTTACTGCGTAGCACTAGTAACAACGTACGTACGTTTCCTTGTGTTTTCAACCCTGTGTAACTCTCCTCTCTCACAGCTTTGTACTACGGGTGCGAAGAATCAAAAGGATGCTAAAGGAAAAGCTCGTCCGTGACAAGAGAGTTGAAAAGCACCGGGACGTTTTGATCAGCTTGATCAAGGACACGATTCAGCAAGAGGTCTGTGACTTTTTTTTTCTCTCTTCGTGTTTGGTTTGCTTTGCTCAGCAATGACGTTTTCCCCTCGTAGGTGAAGTTGGCGATTGTGGCTTATTTCGCTCTCATGAAAACAGCGCATGGAGCAGCCTCCAAGGAGGTAACTGATCGACCGAGACGAACGAACGAGCTCTTAGACTCAACAGAAAAGAAAGAGTTTAAACTGTTTTCGCGTGGCAGGATCTGTACTTTAAATGCAGGCAGCTAATGGAGGACAAATTCAAAGACAAGTTGATGCTTGGATTGGACGAGACGCTCGTCAATCTGGACAAGCTTGGGATCATCTGGCGAGTAAGTCAAGCAGTCCTTTTTTCTTTTCTCTGTTCTTGGCTACAAACAATGGAGTGTGTCTCGATTCACAGGACGAAAAGGGAGCAATTCGCCACACCGAGGCAAACCAAGTAACCGACAACCACTTCGTTCCACTCGAGGATTAGGAGGTTATGTTTTCTAGTTTCTCTTCTTTTTTCTTTTTCTTTCGTGCCTGTCACCGCCAGAGGCCTGTTCTTTCCATAACGATCAGAGACTTCTTCAAGCTAGCTGTAGCTATGGCTTCGGCGACCAATCTTTTCTTTTCTTCGTAACGATCCAGGCTCAGAGACCATGTCTGTGTTGGCCGGAAAGAAAAAAAAATGAAAAAGAAAGCTCCGTGATCCAGAGACATTTGTTTGGGTTTCTTCTCTTCGACAAAACTAGAACGGGGATGATAAAGCTTCTCTTTTTCTTGGTACCATCAACCCAGAGACAATGACAATGCGTCTGTGTTGCCAGAAAGAAAAGTTTTGAGATTCAGAAAAACAAGTTTTTCTATCCATTTCAGAGCTAAAAGCTTTAAGTTTCTCATAGTCGATTCATTCCAAGCACGAAAGCACAGTTTTTCGAACCATTTTCATAGATTACAGCTTTAAGTTTCTCATAGAAGCCGGCTTATAGATCGCCAGCTTCGGGAACTCTTTATTCTCATGTTCTTGTACCAATGAACGGGGAGGGTGGCTCTACATAGCGCCTGCTCATCTCATCCCCTCAAGTTTACCACCTTAGCTCTCAGATCTCTATCTCTCTTCTTAGCAAGAAGAAGGAAAAATAAAAACGAAAAAAATTAACCATGAAAAGAAAAAATACCGGAAGAACACCACCGTGATCGACGAGGGAGACGAGACGGCGACGTGGGCGATGAACATCTAGCAGCTCATTCCATTCCCTAGCGCAATTCGCCTCCTCTTTTTCGGTAGAGTCGATCATCCTCAGAACTGTTCTCCCTCGAAGGTCTGCCCGTATTGCCAGTTGGAAGGCGCGGCATTGTTGGAGATGACCGTCTTGCCGCTACTGTCCGTCACCATGAAGGAGAGGCTCTGGCCGCCGAGCTGCGCGTTGGTCTGCCAGTTCTGGCCCCAGTTGCGGCTCATGGGGATCCATCCCGTCCCGGAGCCCTTGACGGACACGGCATGCACGTCCCCGGCACCGCCCACATTCGTGATGAGGATGAGGTTGAAGTAGGCGTGGCCGTTTACCGTGAAATGGATCCCTCCTTTCCTCACGCAGCTCACCCTGCGAGAGAGTCAAATCGCCCATGAGATCGCGGAAGAAACCCCAGAAGAAAGCAGCAAAACTTGGAAGATCTTGATGAGTTGAGCTCCAAGAACTTCGGAAGAACATAGAGCGAAGAAGCAGCGGCATACCTGCGGAAGTAGACGGGGATGATTCCACCGCGGTAGATTCCAATCTCCTCCCAGGCGGGCTGGGACATGTCGAAGTGCTTGAGGGGCTCGTTGCACCAGGAGCCGGGCGGGCAGAAGTTGGTGGCGGTGACGGTCACGGATCGGCCTGGGATGCACCACTGCGGGTCCGCCGCCGCGTCACATTTCACCTCGAAGCACGCGCCGCAGCTCAGCCCGTTGTTGTAGAGCGCCGAGCTCAGTGCCGCATTGTTGGTGCCGTAGCCCTGGCTGTAGAGATTGCCATAGCCGCAAGCTCCACCTGGACATGGCAAGATGGCATTCGTTTTAGATCACGAGAAAGAATTCTTGTGGATTGCATGCTAGATCTTTGCTGAGTGGGGTTGCTGGAATGGAAATGATCCGAGAGGGAGTAGTGTGATCTCTCTTCTTACCCATTGTTCCAGCGGCGTCGCTGCCTCCGTAGAATGTGGCGTGGCCGCTCTCCCACTGCGCCAGCGCGGAGCTGACGCCAGTGGCGAGGAAAAGCACCAGCAGTCCCATCGTCTCCCTGTTGGTGAGAAACCCCAGTGAATCGATCAGCCCAAGAACATGACAGTGCCAAGAACAGAGCGTCACAAACAGAGCACCTACATTCTTGGAACAAGATTTCTTTTGATGGAGCGGTGGAAGCAGATGATGGTTGACGGCTAAATAGATGCGAGGAAGCCCTCTGTATCTTTCTCGCTCTCTGTCCCGGCCGGATCGCTCAATCAAGATCGCTGGCCAGAGATCTAGAGGAATTATAATCAAAGGAAGAGTATACCGTAGCCTGATTGACAAGGATAAAGAAGAGAAAAGAAGGCCGAGGAGGGGGAGATGAATGAGGGAAGAGGATTGATTTGAGAGGACGATGGTGATTTGGTCCCCAGGCGCTGGGCTTTTATATGGGGAGCGAGCAAGCAGAGATCATGTGTGGGTGTGAGAGAGGGAGAGTTTAAAAGTGTGTGGGCGTTTGTGTGAGGAGTGGCCCAATGTGTGTGCCAATGTGTGTGTGGTAGCTAGCGGACAACAGAGTAAGTTGCAAGGTCCACAAACGGTGCCTGACTCCCTGAAATTTGTAGATCAATTATGTCTGCTGGTACTTGGCCAATCCAATTGGGCGAAATTGGCAATCACTCGCTCGCGCCCAAGAACCCTAAATTCTACCGGGAGGAGGAAGAAGGAAGAAGAAAAAATAGCTACTATAAAGTCAGTGTGTAAAATCCTCTGCCAATGCAGGGAGTGGTAATCTACAAAGAAGTAGAATCTTAAATTTTTGGCGGTCGTGGGCTTGAAAAGTTTTAAATTTCTGTCGGTCTGGCGCTCGAATCCTGGGAGGGATTTAGGGTTCTTCAATTGCTTAGGGATGGCGATGGCGATGGCGCCATGTGCGGCATTCAAATCGGTGCCTCCCCCTTTTGGTTGCAAGTTGGAATTGTTGGGCGCTGCCGCACTCTGGCCGCGCTGCCGCGGCTGGCGCTTTTGTTTGGTGCAAGGATTGATGGCGACAACAAATCCCACACCATTCTTCTACCGGGCGCGCTTTTAAAGGTGTGTGTGGCTTTCGCCCTTCTTACCTTATCACCAGCGGCATTGGCATTGTCAAATTGTCATTGTTTGTTGCTCTGATCGGTCGATCTTCCTGCTGTTGCTCCTGTACTGTACTGTCTCCTCTCTCTTTTTTCGGTGTGTCGGTTCTGCAACTGATCCACAGTTGGTGCTTTTAATTTTTCCCAGCAGCATGTGCTGCGCTGCGGCGATTGAGATTGAGCCCATAGCGGAAACCCAGGAAGAAAAATCTCTCTCTCAATTGTTTTTCCGCTCTGTTGCATTGTTTTGTTTGTTCAAACGTCTTTTGCTCGGTCTTGTGTTCTTCGTCGACGCCATTAATTTCCTGCTACTCAGACTGTAGTAGAAGTGTGGTGTTACGTAGTCGGCATTGAAGAGATGCTTGTCGTTGGTTTTTTTTATAATTTTTTCCTCTTCTTCTTTTTTTTCCATGGTTGCCTCTCTGGGCAAACTTAAATGAAGCTTCCCGATTTGTTCCGGTTGACAATCAAGCTTGAGGTCCCTCTCTCTCTATCTCGCACTTCAATGCGAGGGCTGGGGCCGGGCCTGACTCTTTATCATGTTCGAGCATATGGCATGAACAGTCTAGTCTTGTCTTGCCTGTGTACAAGCCGGGGAAGAATAGAAAAATGGGGAAACCCCTGCAACTACCGTGGTACCACAAGAAACTCTTACGTACGTTGTGGTTCTTTTCTCTTTTTGTGTCAGGATTCTTTGTCCGTTGGTCACTGCGTCGTCTAATGCGTTTGCATTGGCTGGTCAATCTGATATTGTGTGCTTGAGCTAAGTGGATCACAAGAAAGTTCAGCGAAGACTCTTGTGTCACAAAAGGCGCGTGTTCTCTTGCAATCAAGTTGCAACGAGGCGGTTGGAAGGCTCCAATCGAGCAACGGCCAACTTGGTGTGTGTGTGTAAACTCTTCACCTATAAAACTATAGCGTACAAGGAGAGATGAGCCTGTGTGTATCATCGTCTCCGCCGAAGCTCAGCCTCTGCCTGCTTTTGGCTTGTGTGTGTTGTTTGGGAGGCACACGAGTCAGAGGGAGAAGAACGAAGAGAGATGTGAGTAAAATGAAAAGAGATCGCAGCTACGTGTTTTCTATCTAGCTGCAGCTCCTCGCATGCTAGGCCTTATAGTCTGGATCCAACATTAACAGTTCCTCATTTTGTTTTTCTCTTTCTCCTCTGCAGGGAACGCCTCACTGGAGCTTCTGCTGCTGTTATGGCATTAATGGTGATCGCAGTTCACGCTGGAAAAGCACTCGCTCAGCAATGGACGGATGCACATGCAACTTTCTACGGTGGCAGCGATGCTTCAGGCACAATGGGTATGCACCTTGGGTTTTCCAAGTTTGTAAAACCTTTCATCCATTTTCTAGCTTATCTTTTAAAAACAATCTTCGTTACGACTTTGCAGGAGGTGCTTGCGGGTATGGCAACCTTTACAGCCAAGGATACGGCACCAACACGGCGGCATTGAGTACCGTGCTGTTCAATTCGGGCCTGAGCTGCGGTGCGTGCTTCGAGATTAAGTGCAACGCTGCAAAAGACCCGCAGTGGTGCCGAGCTGGAGCCTCCGTCACGGTGACAGCCACGAACTTCTGTCCTCCAAACTACGCTCAGGCCAACGATAATGGCGGCTGGTGCAATCCTCCCTTGGAGCACTTCGACATGGCCCAGCCAGCATGGGAACAGATTGGCATCTACCGAGGAGGAATTGTTCCCGTCCAATACAGAAGGTACTCTTCGCTTCTTTCTCTCTTTTCTTCTTTCTCTTTTTTACTTGGCTGTGCTATGCACGCACGTAGATTCTATTCTTTACTGATTTCTCTTTCTTTTCTATATTGCAGGGTGAGCTGCGTGAAGAAGGGAGGGATCCACTTCACGCTCAACGGGAACAAATACTTCATGCTGGTGCTCGTGAGCAACGTTGGAGGGGCCGGGGACGTGCGAGCCGTGTCGATCAAGGGGCCGAGCGGCGACTGGCAGCCATTGTCGAGGAACTGGGGCCAAAACTGGCAGAGCGATAGCAGGCTCATCGGGCAGAGCCTCTCGTTCCGCGTCGTGACGAGTGACAATCGAGCGGTCACGTCGCTCAACGTCGCACCGGCGGGGTGGAGCTTTGGCCAGACTTTCAGTGGAGAACAGTTTTGAAAGGAAACCTCTCTCTTTAGTTTTTGTCCTCTCCCGAGTTTGAGATGGAAACCTCGTGCCATCCATCGGGATTAAAGTATAGAAATATTGATTTGCTATAAACAGAAAAAATAAAAGTGATGTTCATAATCTCAAAGTTGAGAATCATGCGAAATCCAAGGCTTGGGGCAAAGACGAGGCGCAGCTACTCAAGTGCACGCCATTGCGCCACCCAGCCTCGGTTTCTCCCCAAGAAACTCTTCCGAAAAATGTATGAATAAGACTAAGAAATTTTAAAGATCTTCATTTTATGCTACATTTGAAGCAAATCAGCTGACATCTCTTCAATCATCCCAATCCCGGGACGGGATTGTCCGCCGTCCGCACATCCCAAACAGTGTCGCGGTTGAGTCTAGGATCATAGCAAGTGTCGAGGACGCCACCACAGTCTACGCTTGTAATTGGCCCTGTGCAAGTGACTGAGCAAAAGGAAAAGAAGAGGAGGAAGTAGTACCACATTATTTGTCGCGTGGGCTCACAAGAGATTTCGACCCGTGCAGATCTCATTGTTGGACTGTGCACTTGCCAAATAATAGAGCAAGTAAAGTTTCATTTTGGATTAGAGAAACGATCTAAGCTAGCTTTTTCAGCGCTTCAAAACACCAACAGCACGGACGAGTATAAACTTCCTGGTTTTGCTTCCCGCTGTGTTAGCAAAGTTTAAGCAAGCCTTCGTAGACCTTCAATCTATCTTGGCTCCTTCATGGTTCGCAAACGCCGTGAGCAGCAACTGGTGCGCCTGTCAAGTCTTTCTTAAGGCAGAACGTCGATGAGCAGCAAGGATCTGATCTATGCTTATGGAATCTCGTCGAGATGAGGAAAATAAATAAATAACTAAATCTTTAGCAAACTTTAACAATCAACTTTTACACCCAGGGAAGCAGGGTGGAGAAGATCTTCCATCTAGCACTATACAAAACTGATGATCGCCAGCATCAGTCGTCCGTACGGCATTCTGAACTCGAGCTTTTTGAAGGTCTAAATTCTTGATTTCTTTTTCTTCGCCCTAAGATCCACCCGGATCTCACCTTGAGAAACTCGGGCACACTGTAGTACTTTTGAAGCTCGTTTTGATCAACAAGAAGCATCTTTGTGCGCTCCTTGTCCGTGAACTTGTACACGCCCCCCGCTAAAAAGAGAAAATTGAGCCTTGGAACCGATTCAAACCACAGAAAATGGTCTAAGCAGACGGCAAGATCGTGATTGTCCACAAGATCCACGTCCTGGTGCTTGGAGACAACAACCGGAACTCGAAGAACGTGGCAGACGGGGATTCTCATACTCAAGACAAAGGGGTATTCTCCCGTCTTGATTCTGCATCATGAATTATTAGCATATAAACAGTTCATGGGACTCGACAAAGAAACGCTTACACGTCACTGTGGGCACGTATGGCGTCCCATCTTTGACGTCGCTCAATATATGATGGAACACGCTCCTGAAAGCCAAGTGGTGACGCCTGTAGTGAAACGGCAGATGAGCAACAGAAAAACAAGGTTTTTGGTTTCAACTGACCAGAACTTGACGTCCCTCCTCGGTGTTTGAACAAGAAACATTGCAATCTGCAAAACGTAGTAATAGATCGGATGCAAAGACGTGAGGTTTGTACGAGGCTTACACTGGACTTTGCTGAAGGCGTAGTAGACAGGGAGAGTGGATTTGCAGAGCCAAAGCCTCGCGTGTGTTGCGCAGTCGAACAGTGCAAACAAGTGGGAGAGGAATGCCGACTGGGGAGGCTTTTGCGTGCAGAGACTAGCCAAAAGACCGCTCCCCTGCTCGTCGTGCATGGCGGACAACAGTTTCTTGCCCTGTCCGGAGCTAAGGCCACCCCAATTCGCGACTGATAACAGCGACCCCAGCCGAAAGTACTCTTCCCACTCTTTCTTGCCCAAAACCACACTCTCCCTCTTGTAGCAGTCCACCACTTCATCCTCAAGGCAGCGCAACTCATTCACGCATCCAGACCCATCCTCGCGAGCCTCGATATGACTTCTAATAAAAACCAAAGCGGTGGCACAGTTTGGACCCTGCCCAAGCAATTGAAGCTTAGTCGATCGATTCAGTCCGACATACCTCGACTCGACTTGGAAAGGAACAAAAGTAATTCGAATGGATGATTTCTGTCACTACGTCAGTGACACTCGTGGACGTGGGCCTAAAGAAAGTTAGACATCGATACGATATCGAGGAAGTTTGCAAGCTTACCCGACTTGCATGGACTCGTATGGACTCGTCGTCCAAATCCTCTCCACCGTAGCAAATGCCGGAGAATCGTCCTCGAGGAAAGCAGATTCACCAAGGACCTGGCCGATCCAGACAAGACGCTGTAGATCATCGGAGCTTGTCTTATGGAGATGGGCTAGGCAGGCTTGGAACTCGGAGTGGTTGTTTGAGAGGCAGCGCGAGATGTAGAGCACGGCCAGCAGATTGAAGAGCTCTGCATCGTAGGCAAACGGGAGCCAGCAGTCTGATCTCCACACAGTCATGGCCTCGTGAGCGCACTCGGCCTCGCGGAGGTCCTCCTCGGCAAGGCTCACGATTCTTGACATACTCTCGTCCCCCAGCGCTGGAAAACGCACTTCCTGCTGCGCCTTTCGGAGATGGAGCAGCACAGCCCATTCGCCAGCTGATTTCCTACGCAGCCCCGACCTCGCATCCTTGCACTCCACCTCCAGAAGCTTCTCCATACTAATTTCTTAGGGTTTCGTTCTGATTGAGGTCATATATTTGGATATTCGTGGTATATTGGTTTTGCTTACAGATTATCTTTTATTATACAATTTAAGCATACTCTTAAACTATTTCTTTGAAAACTGAGTATGCTATAATATGTAGTGAGAGCCTCTCATGACTCATTTTGAAAACCCTACAAATTCTTGCCCATACATCTTTGCGTTCCTCGTCATAATATGTGCCACCTGCTGCAATCGCCTTGACCATAGCATCGTCTATTTCACCAGCGCTGGCTCTCACGGCCCTTTGTAATCTGGGAGACTCTACCCACTTCTTAACGATTAGACACGTCTTCCTAGTCGCATCTGATGGAATGAAAATGCCTCCCTGGTTCTTGATTAAAGCAAGATTGGGGTGACTATTTAGAGCCATCTTGCCTGCACAAACAGCTTTAGTACGTAAACAGCAAATATAATTCATGTCACTCACACTCTTGTGTCCACGTTTTGCGATCAATGTCTAGAGCCAAATGATCCTCAAATATTAGCTGCGCAAAGCAACAAAAGAAGAAATGAGAAACACATTCCAAAGAAAAAGAAAAAACCAAAGAGACTGCTCACGTGAACAATGTAGACGATCATGGCACCGACCGGGACATCGCTTCTCAGTTGTTTAGCGCCGCCGTCAAAGTAATGCTCCGGAACTGTGTACTGGAAGTTGAAGATCAAAAACTGCCCGCTCCATGCCAGCTCCCTTATCTCTCCCAGCTCGGATTGCGAGAAAGGGACCGCCCCATCCTGCCACTGCGCGTTCTTGCACAGCTGCGCGAAATGGCCGCTAAAATCTTTGCCGAAAACGGCAGCGGCGGCACGGTAGAGCTCGCGCTCTTCGCTGCTTCCTGCTGTTACCGACTGTGCGTGCTCCACGATCGACTTGCTCGTCGAGCACAGCGTCTGGAGCTCGGCATGGTCTCGCTTCCCCTTCTCTGTGAGTGTCCAAGTGTAGAGCAAACGGCCGATTTGCAAGCTTGCATCCGTAAAGTCCATAAAGTATGAAACCTCGCGGGGCCTGTACTGGTAAACGAGCGAGCACCTTCGAACCCAGCGCTCCAGACTCACACGAATGCTATCGTCCCACTCGACAGGTTTGTGTATCACTACCTCCTGCACAAGAAAAGGAAGAAGTGTCTCTGTTTTGCAAATCGAGGCAAGGAGTTTACCTCTAACACCTGGCGGACGCCGGGGGTGAGATCGATCGACTCCCACTCTACCATGAGTTCCTTGAACCACACGTTATAGATCCTCTTGATGCCCCTCGTGGATGGCAGTACGAGACCCTTAAGCCCGTATGATCGCATGGCGTCTAGGAAGAAGAGCAAGAGGTTGCCCAGGTGCCCCCCGAGGCCAGCTTTGGCTTGAGCTTCGAAGGCGTCGAGCCATTCGAGCGGCTGCTTCTTTGTTTGGATCTGGAGCTGCAGCCACCCGAAGAAGAGCACGGTGAGTGGCTTGGTCACATCAAACAGGCGCATGGCATCCAGAAGACATGCTCGCGTCGAGAGAGTACAAGGAACTCTGGACAAGAGCGACACAAGATCTGCACAGGCGGCTAGTTAGAAAGAAACTAGTGAAAAGAGAGAGAAGCCATACATGAAATTCCTTCCGGTGAGGCCATCGCTTCAGTGTCTGGCGAGTGAACCTTGAGCTGCAACCAGAGAAACAAGCTCCTCTTTACCGCTTTGCCACAAGAAATCTCGAGAACTCACCTTTTCAAGCTTTCGTACAGCGTAGCAGCAAGGGAACACCAAGCTCAGCACTGTCCGGTCACCGCAACGTTGCTCGTTGAGGCGACCTCGCTGGCGCGTGAAATAATCGGCAGCGATGAAGAGGTGCAAGAAAACCTCCGGGATGGGAACCCGGAGGACGTGGGCGATGGCCACAGTCCAGATCTTCCACTTGAGCTCCGACACAGTCGACCCATCCCCATCGTAGAACCACGACGCCCCTGGTGAGTAATCCAGCTCCAGCCCAAAGCGCTGGAATGCCCCTGCCACCACTCTCAGCAATCCGGTACCTATGCTGCTTTGGAACCAATCGCCCAAGATGACGCTCACGCGCGGATCCCATGCCACCGCGTGAGACCTTTCCTTTGTCGGCGTCCACCCAAACTCCATGACAATCGCCTCCTTCTCTCAAAGGTCTTCTTATATACTTCCTACAAACCTAAAAAATATGGAGACCCCTTCTCTCCTTTTCCAGGGTGGAATAGTACAGGAATATAGTAAGTATATTTGAAATGTTATTTCATAAGATCCGAATATGCCAGAATATATTGCATGCTGAGATATATATCCAACCTTTCTAACGAAAATCAGACACTTTGGCTAGCTTCTCTTTCCTGAAAAGTATGGCACAATATGCACAAAAAGAATGGTTAATTTGTACAACCTACAGGCAGCGGCAAAAAACAAACAGGTCGTCAGGATGATATAAAGAAGAGAAGAAAAAAAGAATAGAGATGGAGGTTGTGATCCATCCAGAAGCTTCACAGACTTCTTAAGCTCCGCTTCCGGCCGCCACCACCACCACCACCACCGCCACCGCCGCCGATCACCTGGACCTGTCCTCCGCCACCACCGCCGCCGCCGTCCTCCTCTCCCATCCTTTCCTCCGCCTCGCTCAGCTCCGAGTGCCTAAGTTCTAGCAGATCCTCACACTTCTCCAAGAGCTGGTCCGCCAGAGGGGGTATCCCCGGGTTCCGCTTCTCGTTGTATGTGTGAGCGTTGTCCACTATCTGGTGCATGTCCGCAAGAAAATCCTCCCGGCACTTGTAAAAAAGGTTCCGGGCCCGGTCTCTCATCGTCGAGAGATCCATGGGTGTCGATATCACCAAATGGTAGTCGGGTGCATCCTTCTTCGTCACAGGCTTCCGGAATAATCTCGAAAACTCCTTCTCCTTGAGCCCCTGCACAATCTCCTCCAGGATATTGGCCAGCTCAACCTGGGAAACACGAAAAACTTAAGTCACTCACTTCTCTGCGAAATCGGAAAACGGACGTACCTCTCCTCCGCCTCGCTTGCGTTGCCTCTTCGGAGTCCGATCTTGATAGTCGAATTGTCCGGACATCTCTCGTCTCTTGACATTCTTCCTGCCGGGGTTCTTAATGACAATGGTGTTCCTCGTCTCCTGCGGGGGTTGCATCACCCGGACCTTCTTTTGCTGCTGCTCCTGGAACTGACGCTGCTTCTCCGTATCCTTCATGATCCTGGCCCTCTCCTCCTGCAGCTGCCGCTCCTGAGCTTCCTGCATTTCTCGAAGAATCCGGGCCCTCTCCTCCTGGAGCCTCCTCTCCTCCGCCTCACGCAGCCTCGCCTCCTCCATTTCCCGGAGTATCCTCGCCTTCTCCTCCTGCAACCGCCTCTCCTCCATCTTCCTTTCCAAGTCCTCGGACTTGTCTTTTTGTCTCTCCTTCTTGTGTTCCTTAATCTTATGCTTCTTCTTTTTCCTATCTGCGTCCCGGACCTTCTCCGCCTGTCTCTTCCTATCCACCTCCATCTGTTGCTCTGTTGTGGCATGTTGTCGCACCTCCTGCTCAGGCGCCCTGTCCACCTCGGACTTGACTTGTGGATCTGCTGCTCTTTCGTTCACGTCCATCTCCTCCTGCTGGGCTGGTTGCTCCATCACCTTTTCCGCCTCAGGCTGTTGCTGTAATACTGGCTCCGCCGCGGGGTCAAGCTTCTTGATCTTTATCTTCACGACCGTGGGCTTGTGGCCGTTAACAACTGGTTCTGAGGCGGCTTTCTGTTCCGCTGGTCGAATTAAACTGTTGGAGCTACTCTTTGCACTTTGGAGCCCCGGCTCTACGTTCGGATTTTTGAACTTGACGCGAAGCTTGGGAGTCTCACCAACGGGCTTGTTGTCAAGGTCTTCAATCTTCTTCTTCTTTATAGTTACTCTCTGAACTGGACGATCCGGCGCAGATTCAGCCTCAGGCCTCGCGCCACCTGCCTCATCCAAATAAAGCGGGCACTTCTTCTTGTTCGTACGCATATGTCCCAGCTGCCATGAGATGAATGTTAAAAGATTCCAATATCAAAAGACAGTAGTACCTGGCCACAACCTCCACAAACGACTTGCAAGCCTTCTTTGGCGTCTCGGCTTTTCGAAGTGCCCAAATTTTTCTGCAATGAAACCCAATTATTGATCTTCTCAATCGAAAAAAAGATTATTACGTTGGCCACTGTCGTCTTTTTCACGTTCTTAATAGTTGGTTTTGTTTTCTCAAATGTAACCTTGCTAACCTTCGCTTGACCGTTTGCAGCATTCTTCTTTGCGAGATGCTTAGCTATCTGCATAAAAGTGAATACTTAGTAACCGAAGTTCGTCAGCAATATTTACCTCTATGGGGTCTTTGATAATCTCCTCCCTCCTCGTAATCGTTCCATCCGGGTTTTTTATCTTGATGATCCGCTTGAGGATTTTCCTTTTCTTCTTGGGTCCTGTAGCTGCAGGTGTAGGAAGGGCTTGTATAGGAGGAGGCGCCGGAGTCGCAACTGGTGCGTTTCCATTTGAACTTGCATTCGCAATCGCTGCTTTCTTTCGCTTCTCGTCTTCCTCAGCTTCATCGTCTGCACAAGGAAGCCAGTTAATATCAGAATAAACATTTCTAGTCAGTTATTACCTTCCATCAGCATTCGGTGCAGCTCAGCAGCTTCCGCAGCTTCGTCCTCCATGTCCTCTTCTAACTGAGCCTGTAACGCACGTCGACGAGCACCAAGACCTCTAAGTCCTTCCCTCTTGTCTTTCTTCGCTGCAACATTTTTGTCATCTTCCTCTTCCGCCTCCAAAAGATTTTCTAGGTCGCCTGCGAAGGAGTCCAAGTCCCCATTCCCTTCCCCTTCACTTTCGGACTCGTCACCATCAATAGCAAGAAGGCTCTGAACTTGGCGATCCCATATCTCTTGACACCTTTCTCGAACTTGTTGTTGTAACTGGACGAACGGAAGACGATTACCACGAGCAAATTTGTTTAACGCTGCAGCTCCTGTTGCTTCTCCCGCAGCAGCATGCTCACTAGAGAGTGTTCTGACCATTGCAATTCGATCCCATCGAGTTAACTTATCTATTTCCTCTTGCGGTACGCCAAATTTCAGAAGGACCTTGAAAAAGCACACAACAGTCATTTAGGAAACAAACAAAGGGAAAAAGAAAACCTACCTCTCGAGCAGCTTCCATGCTTAACCGACGCAAATCCGCATCAGTGCCCGTAACAGCACCACCACCTCGTGCAGCAGCTGCCTTCTTCTCGACCATTGCACCAGTGTTAGGCGGTCGTAAAGCCACTCGTATGTAGCTAAAGCCAAGGCCTCGACCAGTCGGATCACCCGGACCTATAATCTCAAGTCTCTCAATGCCATTACGACCCTGTTGGAGATCATTAGAAAATGCCATAAAAGCAATTCAGACAGTTCCATTACCTGCATCATAGCAGCTACAAAGTTCGCCGTCAAGTTCCACGGAGTGATTAGGAGTTCCCGCTCTATGTGGGCAGCAGTGGCAAGTGTTACAGGCACATCTGGTATCTGGCATATTGCTGCAGCAAGACCATTTTGATGCGTCAGCTTATTAACACCCATTCTCTTAAGATGATGTTGCCCTGCTTGCATACTTTCATAAGAGCATACCTGTTAAAGACAAAATTCAAATATTTGCTACTTAATATTGTTAAGGAAGAATCTTGACTCACATTTTCAGGCGTCACCATTCGTCGTAGCTCCTCTTCGGATGGGATGCGATAACCTTGTCGCATAACCCATCTCATATCTCCGTGTGGTCCTCTCTGCATAAAGCGAGCAACGGAGTGGCAAGTTGAACGAAGTGACATCGATGTTAAAATACCTGCAAGTCGGCACAATGTTTCAAACGTTTCCGAATGAAACCATCCGTAAGCGATGGAAAGTGAGCCATCAATTCATCGGCCCCAATTTGTGGTGACATCCCAGGCTTATCTTTTGCACGAAATTCCCGGTACACATGCACTAGGAGCCGATTACCAAGGTAGTGTAAAACTGTTTTTGACGAAGGAGCAATGACCTCAATATGAGGTTCCTAATGAGAAGAGGACTCAAGTTACAACAGGACTCAAAAAGAACAAAAAAAATTACCTGCTGGCCAACAACGTGAAGGCCATCAATACGCCTCAAGGAAAGCTTCCCCTTTGAAGAACGAACTAGAAGAAAATCTGTCGATGAAACGCGGTGTTGGAAAACAGGAGCGCGGTACATATTCGTTTCTAGACAGGACTGAGTTTCTCCAAGGCGAATGTTTCCCAAAAATGGTGAATCTTCAGCCGGTTCAAGTGGAAGAACTGCACCAATCCAGGAACCTCTTTCCTCTTTTAATGTTGCGGCTGTACTATCCGTCGGAGACATCTTCCTATAATAAGTTGACAAAACTGCACCCATCCCAACATTGCTCAGTAAAAGGGGACGTTCTTCGCAATACCTGCAACACAGGAAAGAACAGCTTAGCAAGATAATTGCTAAAAGCCACACTTACTCCATCAGAGCAACGTGTCCATCTTTGACAGATAATTCTGATTTCTTTTTGAACGCCCCGGGTGGTCGAGTAGGCTTGTTTTCACCTGGAAGCCGTTGAGCCTTCGGCCATGGATGAACTTTAGTCCGAACTAGATGTAAAACAGAATTCGGGGGAACTCGTTGCTCTGCGAAGGACTTGTTCGATTCCAGCTCCCGTCCAGAATACATAAGCTTCGTATTTTCCGACGGCTTCAAATCTAAGTAAAATCCATGTCAGTTAACAGCATAGATTGGTTGTCACATACCTCCAAACTTTTTCGAAGCCTTCATTTTGAATGTTTCTAGAGTATCAGATGCATCAATGTGAAGCCTGCTGCCCTTGCCGCCTAGTGTTTTCAATATCACTTTCATTGGCCCTCTCGCCGCAAGTTCGCCTTGTTCCTTGGCCGCCACCTCATTGTGGTGAGGGAACCAGGTAGCCTTTGGACGATGAAAATTCGCCAGGTCCTTACTGCAAGCACAATGACACGAAGGTAACAATCAATCCAACGCTACGAGAGACTTACTTCGTCAGCTTAGGCTTCATTGTTTGCAACCTCAACGCAGGAACAGAATGCGCAACCTTAACTCCGCCAACGATAGCCCGCTTCTTCGCCTGTAGCTTTTGTTGCTGAGGCGTCTTCTTTACGACATAATACTTATCGTTCGAAATATTGAAGCGGGAAGGAAGCATGACGTCCGCCGTCTCTGATTGTTTTCCTTTCGAAGTCCGTGGGCTTATCAACATAGCAGCTGCATGGTCCCGAATGCTCTTCGTTTCCCGTACGTCGGAAACCTCAAAGACCATATGACTGTCCATGAGATCGAAAATTGCCCTGTATTTGCTAGATCTTTGCTTCGCATCTTCCTCATCCCAGCAAACGTTACTCAGCCACGTTCCTGCCGCTAAGTCCGGGTTTTTGAGCTCCACCTCGAAGTTTAGCCTGTCCAGCTTTCTCGAAAGTTCATTCCCCGGCTGATGTCGCCAAGCTTCCAACCTGAGCATTTGAGGATGTTTGCTAGCAGTTTTTGACGCCCGTCTACCATCCCGACATAAAGGTTCCAGAATAATTAGCTTGTCAAAAGCGTCCTTCCCGCTCACTGATGCTTGAAGGTGAAGCCTGTCTCCCTCTGCCGGCTCCGCAATTTCGAAGTCCTCGTCTTGAGACGGTTTCCGCTCCGCATCCCACACGATTTCGGTCTCCCAGTCAAGTTGATGAATAGGATCGAAGTTCACTGAAAAATCTTTTTCGATGTCGGCCAGCGCAGGAAGCTTCTTGTCCAAAGGTTGGCAGCTAAGGAATTTCGGCCCTACCTCGTTGAGCTCATCTGCCAGCTCCTGGCCTTCTCTAGCATCAATCTCCTGGTAATACAGCTGCGTGATATCGTGATTTTCAGGTAGCACTTTCAAGACTTGAGCCTCATCATCATCAATCATTGAATCGAATCTTCCGGGTCTTCCTGCAATGCAAACATTGAACCAACGAAGAATCAAAGAGAGCTTACTACCTTTGAAGTGTGACCTTTTTGTCCGTAGTTTTTTGTTACCAAGCATCCAAAAAGGCTGCTTCGCACCAAAAATCTCAGAAAACTGTAGAATTTGCTTGCCGTGTTCTTGAAAAATAATTGGCAATTCAAACTGCTCACTTTCATCATCTGCGGATAAGTCCTGCATCAAGAGTTATCAGCAACAAGCAGTAAATCCCATTTACTACCTCATAAAGCTCTTCTTCTGAGTCGATGTCATCCTCCGATTCATCGAGCATCTCGTCGGGAGAACCCTCAACTTCAATCTGTGTTCTCGATAAAGGAAGGTCTTCCGGACTCGTAACAGGAAGTAGCGCAGTAGACAAAGGAGACGCCGAACTTGGAGACGGCAGTATTGAACTCGACGAAAGAAGTTCTGGAGTCGGTAAAGGTGTTTCGTCACTTGCAATAGACACAAGCGGTTCTTCAGTCGGCTTAGGAAGGTCTGAAAAATCCAGTCACACCTAGACCAGAGGAGCGTAACAACCAAACCTGGAGCAGCGGGCACAGTATCATCCGGAAGCTCTTCATCATAGTCATCCTCCTCAACTTGCTTCGAAGGAACAGCTAGAGCAGCTTGAGCATAATACTGTTTATCCTCGGGCAGCATTTGGCCATCATCTTCACAAGCTTCGTCAATATCTTCGTAGTCGACGGCATCCTCGGCCTTCCTGTCATAGTCTATGAAAACAACCATTAGAGTTTCCTACTTCCAAAAGTTCCAGACTTTCTCACGTACCATCTTGTTCCTTCAAGGCCGCGGAAGCGGTGAATTGCCTAGCCTTGGAAGATAGCTGTGACGCAAGAGAAAAAGAAAAAAAAACGATTTAAGCACAAAGTTTGAAGGCTCGAACAATGGAGTCACCTCCAGGTCAACCAGTGAAGGACCTAGTTGATCAGCTAATGCAAAGAGGTGCTCCTTCGCTTCCTGGCAATACCAAAACTATTAACTTCCTTTCAAATTTCATCCAGAAACCGTGAAACACAGCCTAGCGCAAACGCAGCAGAAGAAAAAAAAAAAAAATTGAAAGGAAGAACTCTTCGCTGCAGCAGCATTCTTTCCACTCCTAGATTTCCATTTTTTTACAGCAGCTTCGCCCACCAAAGAGAATTTTAATCCCAGCCAGCACCTGCGATTGCCTAGACTCTAGAGCTACACTACTGCCCACAAAAATCTTCGATCCAGCTGCAATGAATGCAAAAACTAGGCAAGATTTCATGTATACACACCTGATCCAGGTACTCCACATCAAGGTCTCCAGTGTCATCGACGTTCCCAAACATAAACCCTAGCATCCTGCCCGAGCTCTCCTCCTCTTCCTCTTCCTCCTCTTCCTCTTCTTCTTCCTCCCCATCCTCGTCGCCGTCGCCGCCTAAGCTACCGCCGCCGCCACGCGCCGCCCTGGCCGCGCCGCCATACCCTCCATAGCGCTCGGAGCTGTGGATATAGGGCTGCTGCTGCTGCTGCATCATTAGGGTTATTCGATGGGCGCCTCGCGCGGCGCTGCTAATCGGATGCTTGCTTCTTCTCTATTTCCTTGTGCTTCTTTTTTTTCTCTGTTCTATGCGGTGGACGAGGGAGAGAGAGAAAAGAGAGACGAGCAAAGAAAAAAATCGAGAAAAAATTTTTCAAGGGCTTCCCCCTTGTCCAAGGTCGCCCAAAAAACCTCGGCTGCGAGTTTATATAGGCCCCTCCTGGCCCAAATGGCGGTGACTGGCCAGCCTTCCCGTACAGTACGGATAGGCCCAAAACTCGATTAGGGTTCTTCCTTGGCGGCGGCCATGGTATGCAGCAGATCTACGCCGGCGGTGTTAGGGCGTGCGGCAATGCGAGGAATCTCTCCGAGGCGCGGCGGCTCCACGCCGAGATCGCCCGTTGTGAGCGATTGCGGTGCACGTATCTCCTCAATCTGGTCGTGGAGATGTATGGCAAGTGCGGCGCCGTGGAGGAGGCGCGCTCGGCCTTCGATTCGATGCCACTGCCCAACGATTTCTCCTGGAACATCCTCATCGCGGCGTACGCGAAGAATGGATTCCTGGCACAGGCGAGGGTTTTGCTGGACCAGATGCCCTGCCACTGCCTGGTATCGCGATGCTCGATGATCTCGGCCTACGCGCAGCACGGCCTCGTCGCGGCGGCGGAGGAGATCTTCGCCAGCACGCGCGGCCGCGACGTCATCTGCTGGACGGGATTGCTCGAGGGCTTCTCGCTGGCGGGGGATTTTGATCGCGCCAGGGCTCTCTTCGAGGCAATGCCGCAGCAAAATCTGGTGGGCTGGGTGGTGATGATGTCCGGCTATGCGCAGCGCGGGCAGCACGATCGAGCAAAGGAGATCTTCGACTGGGCACCGAGCCGGGACGCGACGCTGTGGAATGTGATGATCTCCTCTTACACCCAGAGCCCGGGCGAGCTCCTCCAAGAGGCCAGGTTTGTATTCCAGAGAATGCCTTGCCATGACGCGGTAACTTGGAACACTCTGATTGCAGGCTATGCGGAGGGTGGACTGGCGGACGACGCGATTGATCTCTTTCGCCGCATTCCCGAGCGGAGCGTGAGGAGCCGGACGAGCATCCTCTCGGCGTATGCCCAGTCCGGGAGTCTCCGTGAGGCGAAAGAGATGTTTGATGGGATCTCGGAGCTGGACGTGGTAGCGTGGAACGTCATGGCCGGGGCGTATGCCCAAGCCGGGAATATCGCGACTGCCAAGCTCATGTTCGATCGCATCCCAAAAAGGAACTCCATCTCCTGGTACGTCTTGCTCTCGGCTTTCTCTCACGCCGGCATGGTGGGCGAATCGCAGGGGCTCTTTGCCACGATGCCGGAGAGGGATTCGCTCGCGTGGAGCAACTTGCTGCTGGTTTACTGCCAAGCCGGAGACCTCTCCATGAGCAAGGAAGCATTTGCGAGAATGCCACAGCGAGAAGTTTTCTCCTGGAACCTGATAGTCCGCTCGTACGCCCAGGCCGGATTCATGGACGAGGCAACCGACGCGTTCAATCGAATGGAAGGCAGGAGCAGCGTGGTGTGGTCGACCATCCTCTCGTTCCATGCGCAGCACAGAAACTGGGAGAGGGTGAAAGAGATCTACGACAAGACACCCGAGCTCAACGCCACATCCGCGACCGCCATGCTGGGCGTCTACTCTCAAACCGGGCAGCTCGAGCAGGCAAAGTCGGAGTTCGACGCGATGATCGAGCGGGACAGCGTGAGCTGGAACGCGATCGTCTCGGCCTACTGCCAGCACGGGAAGCTCTCGCAGGCCAGAGCTATGGTGGAGAGATCCCCGCAGCAGTGCTCGGTGTCACTCAACGCGCTCGTGGCCGCCTACGCGCACGCCGGCCAGCTCGAGCAGGCCGACTCCATCTTCTTCGCCAGATGCCCGAGAAGGATACAGTGAGCTGGACGTCGATCATCCAGGCCTACGCGCAAAACGGCCACACAGACGAAGCGTTTGATCTCTTCCACCGGATGCTGCTCGAGGGCGATGCTCCGGACGAGGTGACGTTCTTCGGGATCCTCGGGGCTTGCGGACACAACGGGCTCACGGAGCGAGCTCGGGCGTGGTTCGTGGCGATGAGCGCCGACTTTGGAGTGGTGCCGGTGTTTGATCACTACTGCTGCTTGATCAACGTGGTGGGAACCGCCGGGAAGCTGGAGCTGGCGCAAGAGATGCTGCGGAGCGTCCGGGATGGATTGGCCGGGGGTGAGGATGAATCCGTGGCGTGGACGACGCTCCTGGCGGCGTCCAAGATCCATGGAGATGTGGAGCTCGCGAGAGCTGCCGCGAAGAACGCTTGCGGGCTTGAGACCCGGGGTTCGTCGCCTTACATGCTGCTATCGCATGTAGAAGCGATCAAATCATGAAAGAGTTTGTGATAAAATTCTACTAAATGATAGAGTTTTACTTGGAACTTCTAATCACCACTTGTTCTTGTTCTAGACCTAAATTTAAGAGAGGAGGAGAGCGATCGCTATCGATCGGTTGATCCCAGGGATTCTATTCTAGTGCCGTCTCGCCTTGCAGTGCAGATCAGCGATGGCGATCGACAGCGGCGCGCCTTCCGAGTCTTCGCCGATCGGGCCCAGGGGTGAGTGAGAGCTCTCCATTTCAATCTCTCGGCTCTCGTTGTAATCAGCTCTCGATGTCTAGATGCGTGCATTGTCGGCGTGGCGAGGACGCCGATGGGCGGCTTGAGCGGATCTCTCTCCGCCCTGGCTGCTACCAAGCTCGGATCTATCGCGATCCAGGTAGAATGTCATTCGTTAGCGCTTGCATTATTCTGGGAATTCTTCTTGTAGGGGCGATCGCGAGGGCGGGGATCGATCCAGCGCTGGTTCAAGAGGTTTTCTTTGGCAATGTGTTGAGCGCCAACCTCGGCCAAGCTCCCGCCAGGCAGGCTGCCATGGGTGCTGGCTTGCCTCCTTCCGCTGTTTGCACGACGATCAACAAGGTGTGCGCGTCTGGATTGAAAGGTGTGCGCTTCTTTTGTTTTGTTTTTCTTTTTGTTCTTGTCCTGGGTCAGACAAGGATTGAATGCGTTTGTCTCTGTCTCGCAGCGACTGTTCTTGCTGCGCAAAGTATTCAGCTGGGATTGAATGACGTGGTTGTCGCCGGAGGCATGGAGAGCATGTCTAATACTCCCTATTATCTTCCGAAAGCAAGGTTCTCTTTTTGCTTTCTTTACTTTTTTCTTTTGAGATCTTCACTGGTCCTGTGATATTGCTTGTGTAGGCAGGGATATCGAATGGGTCACGGGGAAGTTATCGACGGCATGATGAAAGATGGTCTTTGGGACGTGTATAATGACTATGGAATGGGAGTGTGTGCGGAGATATGTGCTGAGCAGCACACGATCTCAAGGGAGCAACAAGTATGCCGCTTTCTATCTCGTTTTTGCGGATGTCGTGACTTCGGCTTCAGGATAATTATGCCGTTCAAAGCTATGAGAGAGCGATCGCAGCGCACACGGCGGGTGCCTTCGAGTGGGAAATCGTCCCGGTTGGTATTGAAAATTTTCTTCTTTCTGGTCCATTTGACTAAATGCTTTTCAGGTCGAGGTCCCCGGAGGGAAAGGAAGACCGTCTACAATTGTTTCCAAGGACGATGGAATTGACAAGGTTATTTTGTTCATGAATATTTCACGTTGATTTACATAAACGTCTCATATACAGCTTGACGCAGCCAAGCTTAAGAAATTGCGTCCAGCTTTCAAGGAAGGTGGTTCTGTGACTGCTGGCAATGCATCCAGCATCAGGTATCATGGCCTTAACTTTGAAGCTGGCTCTCATGCTTGTTAGAGTTTTCTCTCTAGCGACGGTGCTGCGGCACTCGTGCTCGTAAGTGGAGCGAAGGCATTGGAACTTGGACTGAAAGTTATTGCCAAGATAATTGGCTATGGTGACGCTGAACAGGTATTGAATCCGTTCCAATCTGAAAGAGTATGCTGAAACACTATCTCTTTTGCTAGTCTCCCGAGCTCTTCACCACGTCACCAGCTCTTGCGATTCCAAAAGCTATCAAGCACGCCGGCATTGATCCATCTCAAGTCGAATACTACGACATCAACGAAGCGTTTGCAGTAAGTAGCCAACAAAAACATCCACTTCGGGCTAAACATCCCGCCGTTCTATTCCAGGTGGTTGCTCTCGCAAACCAGAAGCTCCTCAACCTCGATCCCGTAAGTTCTATGCCATAAGAACAAAAATCAAACTTTGCCTTACAACTTTACTTGATCGCAGGAGAAAGTGAACGTCATTGATGGTGCTGTCTCCCTTGGCCATCCTCTGGGATGTAGTGGTGCTCGCATCCTCGTAACACTCCTTGGAGTAAGCTCACTTCAATCAAGAATTCAAAGTCTCTGGAAATCTTATCAAAATCTTTCCTTTTGTCTCTCAGGTTCTCAAGCACAAGAATGGACGCTATGGAGTGGCCGGAATTTGCAATGGTGGCGGTGGAGCCTCGGCTCTAGTCATCCAATCTCTCATGTAAGGAGAAGAATATGATAGAAATAGTCTCAAAACTAAAAATTGCAGGACCGCAACTAACCAGGGCCATTCCCATTTGTAAGCCTTTTTATTAGCTAAATAACCGGAAAAATCTTAGGGTTCTATCCGGACGCTATCTCTCCCTTCTCGGCAATGCAGATCGCCGCGGGGCGAGTAATCACCAGGGACGAGCTCGCGGAGCACCGCAACGATGGCGATCTGTGGATCAGTATCCAGGGCAAGGTCTACGACGTCTCCAAGTGGGCCGCCATCCATCCGGGTGGAGATCTGGCCCTCAAGAGCTTCGCAGGGCAGCCGGACGCGACCGATGCGTTCCTGGCCTTCCATCCGCGGCAGCGCGCGTTCCAGATCCTCCCGAAATTCCTCATTGGCACGCTCGCGGATCCGGTGCTCTCGCCTCTCACGGCCGATCACGCCCTGGTCCTGGAGCGCCTGGGAAAGGCAGGGTTTCTCACCGTGGATCTCTTCTTCTACTGCAAGATCCTCGCGGCAATCGTCGCCCTGGTCACGGCCTGCGTCGCGGGGGTGATCTTCTCCTCCAGCGCGATCGTCCACTGCGCCAGCGCTGTCCTCCTCGGCTTCGCGTGGATCCAGGCTGGGTGGATCGGCCACGACACGGGCCACACGGGCATGACCGGCAGTCCAAGGGCGGATTCCTGGATAGGGCTCTTGATCGGCAACGCGCTCTCGGGGATTGGATTCCAGTGGTGGCTGCGCAACCACAACGCGCACCACTTCTCCTGCAACAATCTCGAGTATGATCCAGATCTCCAGTACATGCCCATCTTCGCAATCTCCTCGCGGTTCTTCCGCTCCTCGCGGGCGCTCCACTCCTACTTCTACGACCGCGAGATGGCCTTCGACGCCATCGCCAGGCTCCTCGTCAGCTACCAGCACTGGACCTTCTACCTCGTCATGGCGGTAGCGCGCGTGAATCTCTACGCGCAGTCCTTCATCGTGGCGATCTGGAGGAAGAGGGTGCCGCACAGGGGCTGGGAGATTGGATCGCTGCTCTTCTTCTGGGCGTGGCTCTTCTCGCTCCTCTCGTATCTCCCGAGCTACTCCGAGAGGATCGCGTTCCTGCTGATCGCAATGGCCACCACTGGGGTCCAGCACGTCCAGTTCTGCCTCAATCACTTCTCCTCGCCGGTCTACCAGGGGCGGAGGCCGCGCGGCGATGGGCAGTGGCTGGCGGATCAGGCCACCGGGACGCTCAATCTCTCGTGCTCCAAGAAGTGGGATTGGTTCCACGGCGGGCTCCAGTTCCAGATCGAGCACCACCTCTTTCCACAGGTGCCCAGGCACCACTTGCGGGCGGCGTCGGAGATGGTGATCAAGCCACTGCTGGTGGACAAGCATGGCTTGGATTATAAGATGGTGACGTTCTGGGAGGCCAATGTGATGATCATCAGGACGCTGCGCGCGGCGGCGATGGAGGCCAGGGACGTGAGCAAGCCGCTGCGCAAAGGCAACATGCTGTGGGAGGCTGTCAATGCACATGGATGATTCTAGGCTAGGCTGGCAGATCCATGTTTTTTGTGTATGATATATGTCGTTTTGCTGGGAAAATATTCTTGCCACCTTTTATGCTCCAGTTCTTGCCACCTTTTGGGCATATGCTCCCATGAGTGTAGGAGTTCTTTCCACCGTCAAATGTTAGTTTTTGGTCGCAAAACCAGTTTGTTGTTAAATGGATTAACCAAACTTCACAAACCAACCTCTCTCGGCCTCGAGTCGCCCAGCCGTCGCCCACGATCAGAGATTGTGCAGTGTGGTGTCAGTCACAAAGCTGTCTCGAATGGTGGGCAAGGCCCCTCCAACCAAAAGTTTGCTCTGAGGAAAAAACGATCCTCTCTTTGTGAGAAATCGAAGAGCAATTCACCCATTCGTCAAAAGGTGGTGGTCTGTTTTTCGCAGCATACGAGATTTTGTCCGCCGCCGTGTTTTGTGGTGAGGTCACCTGATCTTATCGCGAGCTCTCTGCGCAGATCCTTTGTCGCATACCGTTTTCCTCCTCCTCCTCCACTGCTGCCACAAGGATTCTCAATCCGATTTGGACGAGGAACACTTGCCCTGGAGCTGCCATCTTGTGCCTCGTCCTCCATACACTCCTCCTGTTGACCGGCAGCGAATGGCTGCTGACCAGCGGCTGACTAAGAAAGCATTTCGAGATTCTATCTTTCCGTGCGTCTGTATCCCGAAAGAACTTACTTTTAGATTGGCAAGCTCGCTTCCTGATTTTTGTGGGAATAGCGAAAGGCCTCACTTATCTCCACAAGGAATCAGACGTACGGACTATACACCGTCCTTTCTCCATCACCCGCATGGATCACCAGCCACATCCTCCTTGACAAAATGCTCCATCCGAAAATCTCACCGAAAATCTCTGACTTTGGAATCTCCAAACTTCCTTCTTCACAGATTTAAATTTGTATAAGCGAAGATCATGGTGAAAGCGTAGGTCGAGCGCCACTTTTTCTGTCCAGCAGGAGTGTGACCTCATGGAAAACCAGCTCCGCTGCCCAAATATCTTCCTAGCATATCTGCAAAGTTGGACGATGGAATAATGCAGCCTTTTATTAAAAACAGTATATAAATAAATAAAAGAAATAAATCATGAATGCATAAGAATATTTCGTCAGTAAGTAGCCGTTAAGAAGCATATGCCTAGAATCTAATCATCTGCAAGATTCTGGAAACTTTAAAAATCCTTGTCAAAGTCAAGAGAAGACGTATCGTTCGAAACCACCCAGTCGTCTCACAGATTCGAACCCGCGACCACACAAAGCCCGCACACACTGAATCACTGATCAAAAAGAGGATGCGAACAAGCCCAGCGCAACCGACGGGCAAGATCCAGTGGTCAGAAGAGAAACACGCTTTCGTCTTTGCGTGCTTGAGCCGGCCACCTCACTCCGCCAATAGGAATTAAACAAAGCCGAAAAAACCAATAAGGGCCTCCAATGTGAATGTCAAACCAAAACATCACCATATCAAATCTTCTAGAAAATGCATGCATGCCCCATGCCACCATGCAATGGGTCCAATCAATCCATTGCGCCATCGCATGCATTGGGGGCGGGGGAGAGAGCATCACGGGACCAATGGCCCCACGACGCGTGGCGGCAGGCCACGTCCGCCGACACCGGCCGTCGGCGATGCCGGTCGCCCCGACCGGGCATAGCCGGTCGCCCGCCACCGCCAGGTCAGCCCACCAACCGGGGGACCAGTTTAATGGAGTGGGGCCGCAAAAACAGGTCCGGTAAAGGGGGCCACACTGTCTCTATGCATATATAAACCTCTGCCAAGTTTAGTGGATGGTGTTTACATTGGAACTTTTACGTGTGATATATAAGCGCTTTGCCTCTTGTGGGGGCATCCATCCATTCATCCCAAAAAGTTCCAAAGCTTTGAGAGATCTTTCTCTCTTCTGTGTGTGTTCTTCGCTCCATTTCATCGATTGATCGGTTGTGGGCGGTTCTCTGTGCGCCAATTTCTCGGATTTGTGCTCGCCATGGAGCAAGATTCCAGCAGCAGCAGTAGCAGTTGCCCTCGCAACGGCAGAAAACGCGACAGGGCCGAGGAAGAAGAGGAAGAGCTGGAGGAACTAGAGGTCCAATCCGGGAATCCCCCCTGTTCTTCCTCCTCCTCCAAGAGATTCTGCGACCGCGCTGCCGGCGAGTGTGACGATGATGGCCAGGATTTGTCCTCTATCCTGGAGGAGGCCGAGCATTCCCTCCGGGAGGCCCAGCAGGGACTCGTGTCCAATGTCATGAAGAGCCTCGAGGAGGAGATTGCGTGCTCCTCAGACAGCGCCAGCGCCAGCAGCGTGGATTCCCGGGACGATTCGACGGCCTCCCAGCTCGGCTACTTGCTCGAGGCGTCTGACGACGAGCTGGGGCTGGAGCCCAAATTCGAGCAGCAGCAGCCGGCGGTGGTGGAGGAGGAAGATCTCGTCCGCGGCTGGAGCAGCGATTGGTCGGCTGCTTGCACCGCCGATTTCTCGGACGAGGGATTCATCGATCTGGGCGCGAGCCAGCAGCAGCAGGAGTGGCTCCGGCGGGCTCTAGAGATTTTCATGAGCAGCAGCAGCGTGGTTCCATCGTCCTCCTCGGCGCCCAGTGTTTTGGGGCAGGGATTCGAACCCGCGATCGCTGGGCTTATCCTATAGCCGTTGATGAATAGAAAGATTCTAGTTTCTTTCCCGGTTACAGCCTAAATACGACGTCAGGGAATCACGCTATTGTTTTTGTAGATAGCATGTGCGTGGAAAGAGCGAATCAAATCAAGAGGCTGGAGATGGGGGATCGAACCCGTACTAAGCCCTCTAGCGTACGTCGTGTCAGCGCCCGTACGTCCCACCACTGAAACGTTGTCTTCTCAAAAAGCTGGCGGGAAAGGAATCCCAATGGAAGTGTTACACTGTTCTTTTGATTTCTTCCTTGTAAATTATTTGGGAGCATGGTCAATCCTTGTGATGAACGCCAGGTGGAACTTTCATGGAAGTAAAGTGATCGATCAGAGCTCCAATGCCAAGCAACACATGATCTCAAGGGTGAAAAGAAGATTCAAAGTGGAGGCATTTGCTTTTCCTGTGGGTGGTGTTCATGTTATCGACTGTGATCGATTTAATCGGCGGTTTACTTTGTCCCACAAAAGTTGTTGCCTCTCATATCATGCATTCATATAATTCGTGGGACAAGGCATCCCTCCATCGTGGCTGCCACCTTTTTCTATAAAGACCACAGACGATAGTTTATATGCACACACACTGATTGCATGTTGGGATGGTGGTGGCGGTCTTGTTGACAAGCAACAGCACCACCCCAAGTGCAAGGCTGGCTGGCTGAGATCTGATTCTATGATCTTCTTGGCCAAAAAATATTGTCAAATCCATCAGTCAAATGGATAGAAAACTCCACTATAGAACAACCCACACGCATTGTTTGCTATTTTTCTAGAGATTTTGGAGTTTAATGTCCCGTCACCAAGTGCTCCTTGCCAAGTGCCCCATGAACAACTGTAGAAGAGATCTCAGGTCTTCTCCTTTTGAGAAACTCTTATGAAATTCGCGGCTCCTCTGGGCACTGTGAGTCGGGCAGGGAGCACTGGCTCATTGTGTCAATCACGCACACTTTCCTCTGGTGGTTGAGGCGATTGATTGGAGTGGAGTGTGTTCCTAGGGGACTGGAGAATTTTTGTCACGGATCGATCGAGACGTTTAGATCTCGTGTCCGGTTGGAACGAGGTGATCGAAGCTTGGACAAATGGCTCGAAATTGCTTGCTGTCTCCAAGGCTTTTCAACTATTTATTACAAGGAAGCCGTCCCCCGGCGAGACCCGCCAAAATCGGGAAATTTCTGTGAGCTAGAGGAGAAAGCCTTTGTGTCGCTGTCAAGGGTGGATCATCTGCATCGTCCTCGTCTCCATCTTCACCAGATCAAAACAAAACAGCCCACGAGATCAAGCGAATGCTTTGTGAGTGATTCCAAGCGACAAATGTTTGATCTTGCATTGTGTTAATGACCACTAGCAACATGGATCATGTATTAAAATACTCGAAGGCCATTCTGAGGTCTACATTCTCTCTAGAGGAAAGTTCGCCACCTTTTTCCTCTAGTCGTCCAAACGAAAGAATCAACCACGCCACTGTGGCCATTGACGTACTGTAGAAGTATCGGCTATCTTTTTCACAGGTAGGCCTATGCGGCCTATTCAAGTTCATACATTCTTGGTCGCTTTTGTAGGATTTCTACATGAGCGCACAGTTTGAGGGCTGGTCCTTGACAACAACAAACTTGATCCCGGGCTGATCTTCCTTGATCATGAACTTCAGCCCAGCGGCGGCAGCAGAGGCGGCGGCGGACTTGGACTTGGAGCTCTCCTTCCAAGGCTCTGCGATCTTTCCAAGCTTTCCGATTTTCTTGACGATTTCTTTCTCCTCCACTGTTCCCGTGACGGTCACTTTGTTCTTCTCCAGGTCCGTGTCGATCCTCGAAACACCTGATCAAAAGAAAAGTTTTCCAAGAGCTCTAGACTTAGAACCACGAGTGAAAGAAAAATTTGGACAGTGAAACCTCGCATTTGGGTGAGGCTTGAAAGGATCTTTTGCACGCATTTTTTGCAGTGAAGTCCCACCTTGAGCTCTATGACCTTGATCCAGCAGAAAAATATAAAATTAAGAATCGACTATATTTGCTATACCTTTGTTGGCTTCACTTCGATCTCTGGCTTCTTCTTATCGCCATCCTTTTTCTTCTTGTCCGATCCCATTGGACACTCCCCTCAAGTTTGTTATCCAGGAACTCTGGAGAGAATGACCCCCATTGAAAGACTTTATAAAATGGCAAGAACTGTGTCGACCGGGTCAATCGGAGCGTGCAACGAAGCTTCAAATGTTCTGTCTCCTCATTTAGAGGCCCTGTAGTAAAAGACAACATATTAAGCTGATAATAATCTCTCCCTTAACCAAAACGAAATGAAAACGAAGAAATGGATCCCATCATCTTCATCTTCCTTGCGCTGGAAGGGAAACCAATCCATTCTCAGAGATCGAGGGATCGCAAGTCTACGAGACGTCCTTGGAAGGTTTTCCCGGGAGAAAGAGAGAGAAATGGAAGAAGATGATGAAGATCGCCTGGCCCTCATCCCACCCCCCAGCGACGAGCAGCTCCGCTACATAGGCCGCCTCATGCAGTGCAAGCGCTACCACGTCTCCAAGCTCGCAGACCAAGTGCTCCTTCACACCTTCTTCCTCAAAGTATGGTGCGAGCTCAACGATAAGCTGGGCCACGAGCAGGACAAGTACCTCAAGGTGCGCACCCCCGACCGCCTCCAAGCCTGCTTGCGCGTCGCCGCCAAGCTCCTCCAGGTGGTGGATTTGCTCAATGTACGTTCAAGTCAGTTTTTACTTTGTTGACCCGAGTCCACGCGAAATGTTCGTCCACTCGACGCAACCCAGACTTCCTGGTCAAGGAGTCAATTCAATGGTAGGATCCAGTCAAACTTTGCAATGTAGAAATTGGTGGCCAGGCGTGACGATCAAGGATGGAAGTTGTGATCTAGTTCTGGAGCAGGGAAGGTTCTATTGCTTTGTCGTTTGGACTTTTTGTCTTTCTTTCGATCGAGTCGTGTAGCGTCCGGTCAAGCGCCTGTGTCACAGGTTTTGATTTGGTCTCAGTCTCGTCAACTTTGCGATGTGGGAATTGTCTGGTTCCATACAAGGATAAGTTTCATGATGCATTCTCTGGCGGCACGAAAATGTCTCAGGTGGGTTCTCTTTGCAAAGTTGCGAGTTTCTTTCATGGCTGCTCAATTGATTACAAGTTTTTCGTGCGCCAGATAGTCTCTCTGCGAGTGAACTTGGATTGCTCGGCTTGCAGGAGGAGGATGCACAAGCTGCTCTCCACAATGCGAGGTACACATACGGAATCATGAAACCCTACTCTTGAATTCATGGAATTCCTGGTCTTTCTAGGAGTGGAAATGGTCGAGATTGATGTGCCCGAGCACAGGGTGATTGTCCGCGGGGAGATCACAGAGAACGAGGTGTTGAGGGCAGCGAGGAAACTTAAGAACAACGTTACCACTTGGGAGCCGCCGGTGGAACAGGAAGAGAAACTAAAGAGACCCCCCCTTGTTGACCGGCATTTGACTGGACCAAGTCAAGTGCTAAGATTTACTAGATGTTAAACGTGTTCTTGTTCGTTCCTGTCAACTTCCACCTTTTTCCATGGAATCCTCTTTTGCATATCCCGTATTTCAAACTGGCGGAGCGAATCCGCTAAGTCTTATCAAGAGAAATGAAAGGAATCCCACGAAGAAGGTGGCGGCGATGGTGGCGAGAGAGAAAGAATTGCTGTGAGCTACAAAGTTCTCGACTCGATGATTCCAGATTTAATGGCGGCCACGCGAGGCTCTCCTCTCCATGGTGGGAATGATGAGGGGCATCTATCTTCTCCATCTTGTTGATGGCTGGATGGAAAAATCCTGGAGGGAAATTCTACTCGATTGCACTGGAATCGATCTGGGCGCGAAAAGCTACTTGCGCGAAAGAATTCCACCGATGCCATACCTTTGATTGATTGATATATGGTCAAAAAGAGAAGGTCGATCCGATCAAAACAAACAAGACGAAGAACTCTCCTGTACAGATGAAACCACACCTAGACCAAAGCCGGCGTAAGAAAGCCCATCACTGGATCTATCGATCCATCGGAGTGAATCCGAGACGATCCACGATCACATAATGCTACAATTGTTGTTGGGATTGTCGTCGCTGAAAACGTAGGTGAAGTCGTTGTGGGCGATCCTGGTGATCATCAACTGGTGCTCGTCTTTCTTGCCCGACGATTTGCCGCCATCGCCGTCTTTCTTGTCGTCCTTCTTGGAGCCTCCCTCGTCCTTCTTCTTGCTCGACGAATCGTCGCCCTTGTCCTTCTTCGATTTCTCGTCCTTGCTCTTGTCGTCCTTCTTCTCCTTGGGCTCGAGCATCTCGACGTGCTTGCCCGTCTTCTGGACCCTCTTGAGCACCTTCTTGGGCTCGACGTGGCCCACGACCGTCACCTTGCCGGATTTCTCATCCACAGTGATGGAAGTCACGCCTGCGAGAGACACGAGTTCCAATGTTCGATCATGTGGATGTCAAGAAGTTGATCGATTACCTTTGAGGGTCGCCACCGATTTCTTGACTCGCTTCACGCAATTGTCGCAGTGGAACTGGAGCTTGAGCACTGTGGTCTACCAAGCGGAAGAAAGATTTCGTTAGCACTACTGGAAGAGCGGCGATGACGATGGATGAACAGGGAGAAGAAAACAGAGCAAGGAAAGAGCCAAGTTTGAATGCGTCAATGCGAGCAATCGATTGATCCAGGCCACGCTAAGAAGAACAAGAAGAACAAGAATCGATGCGTGCGAGGAAGATCAAAAGCTTAAGAAGAGAAAACTCCTTTCGATTCGAGACGCGCTGTATGAATTCTTCCCGGAAATGCAAATGATCGAGAGGGAGAGAGAGGAGGCATAAGATCGCACTACCTGTGGCTTCTTCTCCTCCTTTTTCTTGTCGTCCTTCTCGCCCTTGCCATCCGACCCCATCTCCAGCCGGAGAGCGCGGAGATAGAATCGCCCACAAAGCGCGCGGGCGAAACAATGGTCGATCAAGCAAGCAAGAAAGAGAAACCCACGCGGAGCTGGGAGGATCAAGCACGGACAGGGAGATTTGCTGACCGATAACGCTCCAAATTCTCTAGGCTAGGGGCGGGGCCGAGCTCTCGACTCTTCTTCCTCTCTATCTTTCCCTCCTCTTTCTTATGCGTGAAGAAACAAACGCGTATGGCTACTGTTTGAGTCGTCGTCCTCGGTCTAACAAAGCACGCTCTGTTGTGAGTCGTTATCACGTGGTCAAATCGTGATAAGAATGCCGCGCGGTACGCAGGGCTGTACACCGCGCGGTACCGGCAGTTTAAAGTGGTACTGCCGCTCAGGGTTTAGGGTTTACGTGTGGATAAGGTACTTCCCAGCTATGGCGATGGCGTCGCGCTGCGCGCTCGACAGGATCAAATGTGGGAGGGATTTGTCCTGCGCTGCCACCGATTCGCATGCGGCGCCCATGGCTCTGGCGTCTGCGGCGCTCAATGCGCTCTTCTCGTACAAGCCCTTCTTCAAGCTCGCGGCGGGCAAGGCGCGGGGGATGATTGTCGAGCGGGGCGAGAAGATTGGCTACCCGTGGGAGCCGGAGCTCGCCAGGCTCAGGGAGAATGACTGGGAATCGGAGCTCCTGGCCGTCCGGGACGTGAATTTAGAGTACCCAGAGGTATGTACAGTCTCAAAACTCTCATGGTTCTTCATTGTCTTTCATTGATATCTTCTATCCATTTGTTTGATCTTTCGACTTCCTGCATTGTTCTTTCGTGATGGTCTAACGATTGTTTCTTCGTTTTCAACTCGGCAGTATTATTTGAAGCCTTTCCACGCGTACGATAATGGGAACTTGTCATGGGACGCTGCCTTGGAGGTTGATCTCGCAGCCAAATCCGTCCATGCCAATGTCTTCGATCCAGAGGCAACGTCTGTTCTTTTCTTTCCACTTTGTTCGTGAAAAGCTGAGGTTTGGAGGCGCTAACTTTGCAGAGGAAAAAGCTCGATCCTGATGGGGATGTAAAGCTGCGTGATTCTTATCACCAAAAGATGCTACCAATGCTGCGTGTTTCACCGGGAGACGTGCTGGATGTTGGCTGTGCGACTGGGCTCAGTACGTTTGGACTCCACAAGGTTTTTGCTTGCTCTCTATTTGGCTTTCTATACGTATTTGTTATTTCTTTCTGGTTTTTATAGGTGTTTCCTCAAGCACAAGTCGTGGGAGTTGACATGTCACCGTATTTTGTGTCCGTGGCAAACTACAAGCTCAGGGAAGCTTCAAAAGCCTCGGTATGCTTTTGTTGATCTCTTTTGCCGTTTTAACTTTGTACTTGTGTAGGATCGAAAGCTTCCTTTGCAGTTCGTTCATTCTGCGGGAGAATTCACGGGTCTTCCTGACAAAAGCTTCGATCTTGTCTCGATTTGCCTAGTCTGCCACGAACTTCCAAGGAACGCAACTAAACAGGTAGAGACTGTGTTCATGTCGATCTAAAGTTTGCTGGACCTACCGATATTTGCAGGTCGTCGAAGAAGCAAACAGAGTCTTGCGGATCGGAGGAGCATTGTCGATAATGGAAATGAATCCATACTCGGCATCGCTTCAAAGAATGGTGAATAACATATTTGCTTTCACAGCGGTACGCGATATGATCTTGACGCATCAAAACTACTAACTGTCTTCGTGTCCACAGTTTAAAGCAACCGAGCCTTACTTCGATGACTATCGAACGTTTAAGATCGAAGAAGCCATTCAAGACTGCGGCTTTAGCTTCCCGGCTCAAGTGGAAAGCTCCCCGAATCACAGAACTATGGTGGCGCACAAGGTTTGAATCCGTTTTCAGTCAGCCAAAAGATTGGCACGAGAAAAAGAACTTGCCTTTAAAACTAAAACCAGTTAGACAACTCTCAAAACCATTCTTATTTCCGGAACAAGGCTACAGCCAGTGCAACTAGGATTGGGATGAGAATCCCAAACAATGCACTTATCAGCGAAAAGAACTTGCTCCTGGCCTCGCCTTTGGGAGAAATCTTCGACGTTTTGGAATCGGCTGGAGTGAGAGTGAAGAACTTTTCAGACTGGAGAATGTCACCAGGCAGTTCCTGCCCAAAGAGGTATGTGTATCGCTCTCTAATTTCCTGCAAAGAAAGGAGCATTAGTGAGGAAGAAACGAGCATTGTTTTCTACCTTGTCAGTCTCGCTGGGTAGCAGATAGTCGCAAATCAGAAGTTCATTCCATGGTAGTAAAACTCTCCTGGGAAGAATAAACTCCGCTCTGTCTTGGCTGTTTATAAAGCGAGATTTAACTCAGGTTCTCTCAAGAAAGAAAAAGAGAAGACAGTGATCTTACTGACCCGCAATGTGATAGAAGTGATAGAGGCGCTTGCTCGGCCGATTGTTGCTCTGCTTCTTCACAAAGGATGTCGATCCTATTGCGTAGGCTGGCGATTATATCTTCCTGTTGAGACGAGTTTATATAACACGAGAGCGCGATCAACATGTACCTTGATAGCATCAATTGCCATAGACGCAGGCTCGCGAGGAAATCCGTAAGCTCGAGCATCGACAGATCCTTTGACGTTTACGTTTCCTGTTACGATCGCCGGGTTATCACCTGCAACAGAAAAGCCATATAAGTTGGCCACAAGGAAATAGTAAAGGAAGGAGACCTTCGACAACTTCTTTGTTGTTAAATGGAAGAAGAAGCTGGACATCCCCCGAGTAGTTCTCTCCTTCTTGCTAGCAGCAGGGAAGCAAAGAGATAAAACAAAGTCGATCGTGAAGAGAAGTTTAAGGCCTTACGAGTTCGTTATTGATGAGCACCTCGGCAGATTGGATGACTTTAATCTCCGAGGCTGTCCATGAAAGCAATTTGTTTTTGAATGTGTCAGCTTGAGCTGCGGAACGAACTGGTATGCTAGAAAGAGAAATGAAGAAAAAAAGAAAAAAAAGTGCGTTTAGACTTCACACGACTAGAAACGCACCTTGCATCAAACGAATACGTGCACGTCAAGCTCTGCAGATTTGTCGAAATCTTTGCCAGCTTCCACTCGCAAGGCTTTAGCGAAGAACTTCCATTCGGCTCCACTGTGCATACTTTACAAGCCAGCCTATCCAAAAAAAAGCATATAAAGATGGTGTTGCGTAGAAAAATATTTCCAACCTTCTTGGGCTTGTAGATATCTGTAAAACAAAGCGCTCCTGCGCAGAGATCGAAGTGACAGCGGCCACAGCATTTGAGACCTGCCGAGAGGAAAAAAATAAAAACCATAGCAAGAGCTCGAGAAATCTTACCTGACAAAGAATAGCAGTCGATTGCTTGAAGGCGCTGTCTGGAGCAAGGCAATACAATCCAACCACACCTAATCCTCCTAAAAGCATTCTAGAGATCTTGCAGAGAAAATGTGGTAGCTGAATGAACGAAGGAAAAGTAAAATTGGTACCTGTCTAGCATGCTCCGCTACCCATTCAGCATCAATCGAGAGCGCCATGGATCCAGCTCCAGATCGTGACCGAGATTGATTGCCAGATGACGAGAGAAGCACTGCCGCATCGCCTCCATCTTCCTTGACGGGCGTCTGCACCAATCCCACCACAAAATCCCTCCCGCCGGAGCCCAGCCTGCCGATCAAGAGCCCTAGAGCTACTGCCCGGCCCGCCGCAACGATTGAATCCACGGCGCCGTCGAGCGCCTCGTCTCCCACCACAGTCCTCATCAGGGGGAGGAAATTCGTTTAGGGCAAAGCATTTGCCCTTTTTGCCCTAGGATAACGAATCTTATTTGCCCGGGAAAGTAGTATGTTTAAAATGGTGCCCATCCATTGCACGATCGATTTTGCCCTGCCCTAGAGGAGGAGGAGCGATGGGCGTGGATCGGAATTCCAGCCGCAGTGCCGTGGCGCGGGGATCGCCATCGCCGAGAGCCGCCACGGCCGCAGCGGCAGCGGCTGCTGGGGGATTGGCGCCGCCCGTGGCGATGAGCGGCGGCCCTCCTCTCAATCTCATGTTTGATCCGCGGGTAGTGCGTGGTCCGACCTACAGTAAGATGAAGGTACGCGGATCTTCTCTCATCTCGAGATTTCTTCCTCAAGGTCGTTGTTTCTTCAGACTGGATTCAAAGCTGAGCCTCCTCCCCCAGAGAGGAAGGCCGTCAAGAAGAAAAGAAAAGTTCCTGCTTACAGTACCACACCTCCTACGATCGATGGAAGAAAAAACATGGACATCCAGGTGAGTGTTTAAATAGCGGTGGAACACAGCTCATTCGATTTTTCTTTTTTATTCTTCTAGAACATAAAACACAAGAACTTAAGAACTGGAAGCTATGAGCCAATCACGAACCTGGTGTGGTGATGCGCAGACAGATGTCTATCTGGAGGAGCTAGTTGACAGGATTCCAGAGTATGACATTGATACTCAAACTGATCCGTTCTTGGACAGACCAGCCACTCCGCTTTTTATTCCACAGAAGCCGGGTCCGGATATCGGGACACAGGTAATGCGTGAGCTTCGCTTTTATCCCTTTTAACAGTTTGTTTTCGAATGGCTTGTTCCATTTCCAGATCGAAGAAGGAGACCTCTTTAATTTCGATGAGGAGGTTGAGCCAATGCTTGAGGTGTTGGTAGGCAGGACCGTCGAGCAGGCATGGATGGAAGTAACGGAAGAACGGCAGCTTGCCGAGTTGCACAAGCACCAGGTTGGCGCTTTAATAACCACGTTGCCTTTTGCATTTTAAAGCTTTGAGCCGTGGGTGTTTCAGGATCATTTCGAGAAAATCCGTGCGGCAGAACTGGTTGCGACACAGAGAATGGAGTTCTCCGAATGGAGAAAGATTGAAGAAAAGAAGAGACGTGTTGAGCAAGAAAAGAAACGGCTTGAAGAAGAACGGAAACTGAAGGAGCTAGTAAGTTTCAAATCCATGTGACGACTAAAGCTTGATGCTTATGCGTGTGCTCTTGCAGATTGAAACTCAAAACTTTGCAAGGGAGTATTTGAAGAAGATGACAGACTCCGTGCTTTCGTACCTTGAATCTGAGGACTACTTCTATGACCCTGTTGAACGAGAGGTGACTTTTTATTTTATTTCCTCTCGGGAGTGTAGCAATGCCCTGCAGGTTGAGAACCATTTTATGCCAATGCTGGCGGAAAACATGGAGAGGGAGTTGGAGAAGATTGTTTGCGCTCGAAATACATTGCACTGTGTGGTATGCAAATTGGGATGTTTAAACTGTAGATGCATTCGCTCACGCATTCTTTGCAGGTGGAGGCTGCCACGATTTCCCAAGAGTCGAGGGCATTGAATGTTGTTAGCGCCATGGTCAACACAATCATTATGTCCGTGGAGTCCTACATGACGGAAGTTGCTACAGCTGATTCCGCTGATTATGTGAGGGACGTGCTGGACATAGTCGAGCAGACTACAAGAGAGCTGACAGCAAGCTCGACGACATTCTTCTGCGACTTCCTGCGCTACTTCGAGTCGGTTGAGATGCAAGTGGTGTACGAAGTCCGGACCATGCTGAGAAGGGTGATTACGAGACACGAAGAAGAGGAACAGGTGGCGGTGGAAGTCGGGGCGATTTTCCGGAGGGTGGTAGAGCAGAATACCGAGCCCCCGCCAGCACCTCCTCCAGAGCCAGCTGCGGCACCGCCGCCACCACCGGCAGAGGGTGAAGAAGCTCCAGCAGAAGGTGGAGGCCAAACAGCAGCGGAATAGGATACGGGGGATTATGACAAGGTGGCCAGATTGTAAACACGCTTTCGTTGTTGGTGGAATGCTGGTTTTCTAGCAGGCACGATCAGTTTTAATTCCTTTTTACAACTTGCTCCTCACATTCTTTCTAAAAAACACTAGTAGTAAATTGTTCTGTTTTGTTTTTATTCGGTTGTTAAGTTTAAAATACAGAGGCGAAAATATTTCTAGACTACAAGTCTTATATCACGTCTACTAAATTCTTTCTAGGCAATACATCGAAGCTCATATCAATCTCTAGAATTGTATGCGTCCGCTGGTTGTGCGATCCCTGTTGTAGGGCTCCACCACAGCTATAGCTCTAGAGAGGATTCTGCATCTTTTTACTCCATAGCTATTTTTGGAATCAAAGGTATTAAGTACGTAGTTTATTTGCAAAGTATTGAGGAAACTTTTGATAAACCCTATTTGCTTCTCCGATCATACAGGCATGTTGAAGACACTTCAGAACACCAACGCATGTGTCACGGTCAGGGTCATCCACGAGGAAAAACGAACGTAGAAGAACCGGAGGAACATTGTCACCGTATAAGTAAGAACGTTTGAATAAACTCCTACAACAATGGGGAAAAGCCCGACCACAAATGCTTGAATTCACCACACCCTCAAACAAATATTTTGAATCGCTGCGTCCAATGAATGCCTCTATAACAGTTGCAGTCTTTGCGTCGGTGTGATCTCCAAATTCCATGAGCAAGGCGACAGCCTCGGAGACCTGTGCCTTGTCTTGAAGAAATCTCCGCATACATGGGACGACATCCAGGCTATCAACCGGGACATTCTTGAGCTTCGCTTCTTTGACAATCACCATCGCTCTGCTAAAACCGACATCGTTGACATTAAGCACTTCGTTGTAGCAACCTGGCGTTGCTCCAGCCTCACACTCCTCTGCCATTGCAAGAAACAGATCATATGCCTCTTTGGGTGATGAACTCCACTCAAGGATTGCTTTCTCGAACACCCTAACACTGCGTTTGTACCCAAGGGCCTTCATTCGCCCAAGTAGATCCCTCTTCACATAATCTTTTCTTCCGTGTGGTAATTTCGGTTGCAATCCAAGCAACACCAATTCAAACGTTTCACCATCGCAGTTCTCGTCGAGCAGATCCGAGGCTGTGACGATGCAATCTAATTCCACTAGCTTCCTTACCATCTGTTGGCGACAAAACCTTTTGCCTGTGACCTCGTCAAATCTAATGAGATCCTCAAGCTCCAGATGACCATATTCCAACACCAGGAAAAAGACCATATCCAATCGTGCATGCTTGGCTCTCTTTGCTTCCATTGCTAGAATACTAGGGTAAATAGGTTCTATACTTTTAAGGACTTTGAAATCCAAATTTGATAATAGAATAAGGAAATAATTCTGGCACAGGTGGGTGAAGTTGAATTAATGTATCTGCTGGAGATTTTGCTTGCGTGGGTTGATTGAAAGCAGTGGTGAAGCGCTTCCAGGGTGGTGGGTGCATGCCGCATTTATTACGAAGGACGCGGCAATAATTGTAAGCACGCCTCCTGTGCACATGCAACACATGGAGAGCGATTAAGGTGAGATTAGTGTCCCCGCAGTAGCGAGCAGCAAGCACCTTAGGACTTGGGCATGTGACATCACAGCGGATTCTTGACCTTTTAGAGCTCCTCCGCTTCTTTGGCCACCCTTTTTTATTCGCCTGTTGAGTGTTAGTGTTTCTTCTCCTCCGCCTTGTGCCAAGCGAGGCGTAATAACAGATGCTGCGGTTCGTCTGTCCTGCTGCATCCATTTTGTTTCGTTTTCCTGCTTGGCTTTCCTTAAAGTTCCTCGTTGAAACTTGTGAGCGAGAGTAAGTTTGTTTATAGGTAGTGTGGGGCATGAGGTTTGAGCTTGCTCTTCTCACCGTTTGAATCCCAGAGAAGGAGAGAATTAGAGCGAGCAAGCTGGCAGGATGGGCTGGATAAATCATCCGCGGGGAAATGTTATTTAAGGGATGGTTTGACTTGGGAGAGCTTTCTGCGCAGCTCGCGCGCTTCTTCCTTGCTCTGACTCTGGGGGCGAGGAAAGAAGAGCTCGACAGCTACACGGAGGTCTATTTTATACAGCGCCTGTACATGCTTGCTGGGATTGAAGGGGGGAGGGGCCTGATCTGAACAGCAGCAGCTAGGCATAGCTTGTCATTATAGGCTTCGTAGCTCCGGCCAGGGGCAACCGAAAGAATCCACACGGTTCTAGTTATATAACTTGTTCGTCTGACACTGGAGATCTCGTCCTTGTTTAAGTGGTGCCGCGGCGCGTGTCGGTTTGGTTCCCTGTGGAGACACTGTATTTTTGCGACTGGATTTCTGGGGCCCTCGACTTGTAGAGGTCTCATCGCTGCGATCGGGCGCCCAGCTCGGGCTGCTCGGGAGGGGAGAATTTTGCTTCATGCAGAGCTTTCTTGAGCTCTAGTATGGGTTGGAGGAGTGGCCGGACACTAGTGCAATGGGAATAGTCTGCGAGCCTTTGTTCTTTGGTGGCGATCTCACGAGGAGGAGCTGTAGGAGGAGGCAGGAAGTGGCTTGCCGGAGCTCGAAGGGTGATTGCGATCCAGGTGGTGGCACTGGCGACTCATGCTTGACGAGTGATCACGAAGCGGCGGCAGCGGCGGCGGCGGAGGATTGCAGCACGGAGCTTGAAACGGCTCCAATTCGCGGTTCGTGTAGTGTCAACGATTCGTCTGCTGGCTCGAGTGGAGGGAGCAGCTCCTCCTGGACATGGCAGTCGAATTCTCCTGGGAGAATTGTTGAGAATGTCCTAGAGCAAGTCCAGAGCAAGGCATCATCGCCATCATCCTCTCCGGCAGCAGCAGAAGCAGCAGTCCAAGGATTTTCAGAAGGGGAGCGCGCAGTAGAGAACTGGCACAATCTTCTACAAGCCACCGACTTGCGTGACGATGGAATCGAGACGCTCCCGTCGCTAGTTTCCGCTGCCTTTCCCTCGGATCAGGAGCAGCACAAGGCACGGTTTCCGAGCTGGGACAACCGGCCTTCAAAGCTCTCAAGCCATCATCAAGCAGACTACGGTTGTTTCATGCAGCAGGACGGTGCGGCATTTGGTAGCAGCAGTAATGTGTTCAGACCACCACCGCAGTTCGTCGACAGTCACAACCTCAGCTTGAGCAGCCAGGGGATGCTATTCGAAAGGCAGCACCAGCATCAGCAGGAATTCAACAGCTTTTCTTCGCATGTTTCGTATCCTCCCGGGGGGACTTTCAACTGTCACGACGGCGTCGCTGTAACTACTGGCAATTCAAGGAGCAACCTTGAGCTCCTCCTTGGATCGAGCGCTATAGATTTCAAGCAGCCACAGCAGGAAGAGCAGCAGATTACAAGTCAGTGTCAAGGAGCTTTTGGTGGCAGCTGGAGTGCGAATGGAAACTTCGGAATTAATGGTCAGGCTGCGAGGAGGAATCACACGGGCGATGGAGGAGGAGGACAGTCACAGGCGCAGCAGCTACAGTCCATTTTTTTGCCGGGTCAAGGCAGCTCCAGGAAATCTGGCATTAAAACCGTGGAGGAGATGTCAAGGAGATGCTCGCTCCAAGAGAACAACAGGGTAAGCGTCTCAAATTTGGTTCTTGCAAGCGTGTGCGGTGATCTCATGGCTGACGGAAGAAGTGGCTGACTTCTCTCTTTTCTTTCTGTTGGTTTTGATCAGGATGCAAAGCGTCACAAAGGCTCCACCGCGCAAAGGACAAGGTTTGGCGCTTCTTCCAAGAGAGGTAACTCTCACAAGCGGGAACCCGCGCTCAACACTAATCTTAAGCCGCGAGCAAAGCAAGGTTGTGCTAATGATCCACAAAGCATTGCTGCCAGAGTAAGAAAGAAAAGGAAGAAAAAATCGAGTCAAACTTACACTGGTGTGATGTTTTTATTGCAGCAACGAAGAGAACGGATAAGTGACCGGCTTAAAATCCTGCAGGAGCTCATACCAAATGGATCCAAGGTAGACTGGGAGAGCATTGGAAACTCTTTTTCTCTTCTTTTGCATTGGCTGATTTGTGGAAGAGCAGGTCGATCTGGTAACCATGTTGGAGAAGGCCATCAACTACGTCAAGTTCTTGCAATTGCAAGTCAAAGTAAGCTTTAGCTGCATTTGTTGAAGGCCTTTCTTGCTAAATCTCAACTCTTTTTGCGCAAAGGTTCTTATGAACGATGAGTATTGGCCACCAAAGGGAGATGGAGAGGAAGGTGAGGAGAGAGCAGCAGTGTCGATTGGACTAACTACCTAAAGTAAAACCAAAAGAACTTGGAAAGACAATCATCTATCATTCTCATTATCAATCATTCTTAATGTCAATGAAACATTGAAAGTTTGGTTTCTTTTTTATATTGTAAGTATGAGAACTTATTTTCTATAAACTAATTTTGCACTTCTTAAGATTATCCAATGTCTCAGAAATACTTATTCATGAGCAAAATTAGTTAAACAGTAATTTGAGACATAAATATTAAAATAAAACTAATTCAAGCCAAGAACATTATATTTCAATTTTACTTTAAACTTGTGATTTTTAATTAGTATTATTCTAAGATTTTAATTAGGATGAGTTTGTTCATAAAAATTTACTTTGTATGTATTTTAAAATCTCTAATTTCGTAATCAATTTAATTTAATCAAGTAAGCCATGTTTTTTTTATCATAAATAATTTCTTCACTAGGGAAGGTTCTATGATTTTTAGCTAGCTTAGCTTTGTTTCTTCCTCATTCTTATATGTCAATAAGAGTTTGGTAATCAGTATATGCTTGCGGAATTTAAATATATATAGCATCACTAATATTTCATATCATCCCTTATTTATTTTCATTATGTAATGATAACTAAAGCATTAAAATAATATATTTTGTAAATTAATTTTCCTCAAGGACCTTGCACTTTTTATATTATGTTTAAAATATTTTTTATGAGACTCTTTTAATAATATTTAAATTTATATTTAAATTTAAAAAATGACATCATAATACATATTAAAGTGAGTGTAAAATAATATTGAAAGTTATAAATATTGCTTTTGCAACTTAGTCATAGTTAAATTCTTTTTTCTGGTATCTATTCCTAGTAAATTTAAAATATTTACTAAACTAACAATAATGTGTTAAGCACTTCTTAATTTATTCCTAATTTTTTTTCAAATTCTTTTTTCCTAAGATAAATGGACTTAAGGTTCAATTACACTCTTTATAAATATAAATCTATAAGTTTTTAACATCCTCCCTTGATATATTAAAATTTATTTATGGAGCTCTTTAAATTTTAAACATTAATTAAGTATTTTAATTCAAAAATTAAAGGTAAATATTTTAATCTAGATTATATAATATAAATATTTTAATTTCAAACTTTGGGACTCAAAAAGAATGTTTAAATCTTTTTGAAAGTAATAATAACTAATATTCTATTCACTAATACAAATAAAATATGTTATTATTTTAATGCAAGATTTTAAAATAAATAAATTTTAAAGTGAGTTTAAAAATCATAAAACCTAGAGATATAAGTTTTATCTTATGCAAAGTTCAATCTAAAAAATATAAAACTTGTTTTTAATTTATTTGTATAGGTGAATTATTTAACTTAAATAATATTAGAAAATAGTTCTTATTATACTTATAATATAACATATTTTTTGTTTTAAAAAAATTAACAAAATAACAAATTTATAATTTAAAAAATAAATTATTCCACAATATTATCTATGAATTTTATTTATAAAATTGAATATAATAAATTTGAATTAACTAATATATATAATTTTTTAACTAATTCTTTGTTTGATTTGTCATATAAAAAAAATATTTTTGTGGGTTAAAGTCATCAAGGATTAATATATATGATAAAAAAAATGAAATAAAGATGATTAATGAGATACTTCTTTAGTATAGTGCTTTAGTGTGTTGCAATTACTAAAACTCAAGAAGTAATTCTAAAGTTTTAATAAGTTAATATATAAATTTATTTATAAACATCATTAAATATAAAACTTTTACCTAAAGAATATAAATATAATAACTTGATTTCATTTTGTGATGTAATATGATACTATCATTATTTCATTCATATTAATATAAATAAATTTACTACTTTGAGGGGTTTTAGTTGAAAGGATAAAACTATAAAGACTATATAAACCCATGAATTTTTTATTAGTATTAGCTTTTAATAAATTAAATTGTAGAATAAACCAAAAATTTATTAACTAAGTATTAATTATTTATTAACTAAGTATTAATTATTATGAAAAATCAGATTTTTCAGCTAACTATATAAATTTTAAGAATAAATCACATATGTAATAGTGTACAAACAAAATTCATGGTCAAAAATATCATAAAATGAACATAATCAATTCTTCCTTTAGAATATCTTTACAGAAAAGTTGTAAAAGTAAAAATAAAATTTGGTAAACACGTGGCAGGTTTTGACTGGCCTAAGAAACAAAAGCGGAAAAAAAGCGGGGCCTCGGGTTCCTTGCTTTGTCAGCACCAGCTTTTCTAGCCTACCTTGTTGGTCACGGTTAGACTCTCTCACTCGCGTCGCACATACAAAGCCCTTCTTCCTCCTCGTCAATCTCATCCATTCAACCCAATCCAAGAGCTAGCGACGTTTTTGTTTTGGGATGTGTGAGAAGAGCCTCCTCTTGTCCCTCGCCATCATTGATCTGGGCTCTCGTCAACGAGGATACAAGTACCAGCAGAGATCCCAAGGAGGAAATCCAGGTAGAGTATCATCGGCAATTCTCTCCAATTCGCCATCAATCGAGCTCTTCGAAGTAGAAGAAATCTTCTACCTCGCGGAATCCATCAAGGCAATGTCCAGCAGCAGCAGCAGCAGCCACCAAAATGTGGAAGAGGGAGGAGTGACCAATCGCAATCGCGAGAAGGACGAGGAGAGAGTAGCTCTGGTTGTGCGGGTGGAGGAAGAGGAGGTGGAAGAGCAGGATTCCATCAACAGGGGAACAACAGGGGCATCGATCCAGCAATTGGCGGCGCAAGCCATCGTGGGCGCTGCCCAATCGCACGAAATTCGCGACTCCACACTGGAATCCACGCCGCCTGCTACCCAATCTCTGGAATCTCAGGATGGAGCTGCCACGCCATCGCGCAGCCAGGAAGGAGGATTAGAATTGCGAGAATTGGAAGAGCTCCAGGCCACTCCAAAAGGGGAAGAACACAGGATCCCAGAGCCAACAGAGTGCCCGCCAGCGCCTCGCAAGCTTCCCAGATCCTCCTCATTTCCTTCCTCTTCCTCGTTGCTGCTCTCCACGATTTCTTCTTCGTCCTCCAGGAAACGATCCGCCCAGCTAGCATTCTTCGTCCCGCCCGACTCGGAAGTGTTTGCTCCCCGGCCACGCCAGGAGCAAAACTCCAAGAAAGAAGAGGACGAACACAAGGAAGAAAAAGAAGAAGAGGATGATGAGAAAAACACCAAACAAGAGGAACACCACTGACAAGATTGAGAAGAAATTTTTTTATTTTTTACCCTATTAATTTTTTTCACTGCTGACCACCATCTGTAATTTTATTGCAAGAACACCCAATAACACCATTCATTCCATTCCTTAAAGCTTAAAAGCTCGTTCGTTCGTACCTCTCGACTTGACGAAAAATCTTGGCCCAGAATTTTTATCCAACTGCCGCTGCTGTGGCCGGTGGCGATCCCACTTGTTTGCTCGCGATCTCTAAGGCCTGCTCCACCGAAGAGACGCTTTGCAGCCTGGCCTTGTCAATACTCGGCTGTGCTCTGGCCAGCTTCGGGAGTAGTGCGAATTCCTGCGGCAAAGATTGGAGAAAGAACGGCTCAGTCGATTTGCACGTAGAAAAGATAGACGAAGGAAAGGAACAAAACATCTACCTCGGGCGAGCCGCTTTCCAGAAACACGCCTTTGAGCCGGCCTGTGCATGTAATTCCCGAGTAAAAAAACTATGCCTCGACGAGGACGACGAAAAGCGAATCGAAAATCTTACCGTCGTCGATCCAAAACGCGCCATACTTGTTGTTGAAGTCTCCGAACTCCACAGATTCTCCCACTAAGTAAGTTGACAGACTTTTAAATTCGAAAAAGAAAAAACAAAACAAATGGAAGCAACAAGATAGTACCATTGTCACCGTAGAACTGCCACCACAGCTTTCGAGAGCTCTTCGAGTTTTCAAACACCCGCGAATAGAAGAAAGGCAAATAATCGTATCTGGAAGCAGGAAAATAGATTGTCAATCTTTCGGCATTGATGAAGTTACTACGGTCACGGCTTACGGATCTGTTAGAGTTTCGAGCAGTGCATTTGCACAGTGCAGTGCTGATTTTCTTGCATGGTCAACGTGTTCCACACGTGTAGTCCTGCCATACATCTGTTTGAGACACAGGAGCGTTCAGCAAAGAAGCCTCTTAAATGAAAAATCTCACCTTCAAGGGGAATGCTGCGACGTCGCCAATTGCCGAGATCCCCGGAACGCTCGTTCTGAACTGACCATCGACCTTACAAGACAAACGGACTATAAGGAAACAATGAATAAATGGCAGAGCTTTCCTACCTGAATGCCTCCTTCCGCAGTCGCGAGACCGGCGTCCACGAAAGGTCCAATAGCAGGTTTGGCACCAATGCCGACCACCACCTATGCAAACGTTTTGTTTAAAATGCTTCACAAAACGGAAAAACGGAGTCACGTACTACGTCGGCTTCTAGCGTGGTCCCGTCTGATAGCTCCACTTTCTCCACCCGACCATTGCTTCCAGAAGCAATTTTACTGACAACAGGACCCTTTTAACGCATGCAATTAGTTTCTCCCTCTCCAAAGTGCGGAAAGAAGCTACCTTGACGAATTTAACGCCACGGTCCTCGTAAAACTTCTCGTAGTGCTTCGCGATTGATGGTGTAAATAATCTAAACATTACATGGGGTTCGGGGAAGACAACCTGTACAAAATAATCATCAAGAAAATTTAAAAAACACGCATTAGCATGCCAAATTACCGTAGTATCAATATTCCAAGAGGATGTTGCAGCAGAAACTTCCAATCCTATGTATCCACCTCCAATTATAACTGCTTTTTTTGCTCCTTTCTGGAAGGAATAGATCATTCAAGTACCCACTGCGTTTATATCAATCACTCACCAAGGAAGCTACGAGACTATCTGCATCAGCGACTTCTCGAATATAGTGAACACCTGGAAGGTTTCCTCCGATTTTCTCAGGCAACCTGCAATGCTTGTCGAGGAAAAAAATGATAAAGATTGTCTACTTCAAACATACCTGGCGGCAGTGCAACCTGTAGCAATTATCAGGTTTCCATACTTGATTGTGTCGCCGGAGGAAGTTTTCAATGTTGAAGCAGCAATATCAAGCCCAGAAACGGTAGTCCCTTGCAACAACTTGATACCAAAACATGCAAAAGAAAACAAAAACAAACAAACAAAATCAGTCATACAGTTAAGGATGTAGCTAGAACAAGTACCTCGATTCCTTTCTCTTTGTACCATTCCGGTGTTTGCCTCTCCCATCCCGATCCAACACATGTATGAAAACCCTGAGAAACAGTAATCAATCAAAGATGGCAAAAGGCGAGCAAAAAAGCTTACAGGTAGCCTGGCAGGTTTCTCATCTAAAGGAAAGAGATACGCCTTCGTCAATGCGGGACGCTCGTAAGGAGGAACAGTCTGCCAAAAACAAGATCACTACATGGGAAAGGCTATACAAAAGCTTACCAAATCAAAGTCTGACCTCTTTAGCTACAATACACAGCTTCCCATCGGCCAGTCCCTTCTCCGCGAACGCGTGAGCCAGGTAGCCAGCAGAGTTGCCACCGCCGACGATCACATATCTTCAGGGAACGGATCGATCACAACAACCAAATTCAAGAGAGAAATTTTCACCAGAGCCTTACTCGCGATTCTCGTTGAGATGCGCTTTAGCCGCGACAGCGTAGCCGGATCGCCGTGATGCGAATCGATGCCGAGGAGCCGGGAGGACGATCGCGGAATGCGAGAACCTAGCGCCAGCGCCAAAGAGACGAGACGACGCCATGGAACAAGGAGAAAAACCCTGGGCCTCCATTTGAAAAATAAATTAAAAAAAAAATCGCCATTCAGTCCATTTACTTATAGCGAAACGAGGCACCACTTGACGCCATGTAAGGGGCAACATGGCCATTGTCTTCTCGAGCCAGCACAGAGTTAGTTTATTTCCAAGAAACTCGAAAGAATTTTCGAAAACTCAGATGGAGTGGTTGTAAGAGTTTTCTATTGATCGCGCCGGACAGGGGTGACCTTCTGCTTAGGAAACAGACGCTATATCCACTGCGTGGATGCGCTCGAGAAAACTTTGATCTCTCAGCAATCTGTCGAAAACTGTCAAGGTGAGTTCTCAAGCTTCAAAATTGCACAGAAACAAGGCAGTGCCCAAAATACACACGTCGTCCTGTCTGATAGATCCACGCGGCCACTGCTTCCAGAAACAATTTTACTGACAACAGGACCCTTTTGACTTCGTTTTTTTCTTCTTGGGGCTACCCTAACGACCGGTCCTCGTAAAATTTCTGGTAGTGCTTCAGAATAATCTAAACATTATATGGTTCAGGGAAGACAACCTGTACAAGAAATAGAACACACATTAACATGCCAAATTACCGCAGTATCAATATTCCAGGAGGATGACATCCAATCCTATTTATCCACAATTAGAACTGTTTAATTTGCTCCTTTCTGGAAGGGATAGATAATTCAAGTATTCACTGTGTTTATCACCAAGGAAGTTATACATACCTGGCTGCAGTGCAACCTGTAGCGATTATCAAGTTTCCATACTTTGATTGTGTTGCCTGATGAAGGTTTTAATGTCAAAGCAAAAGTTTCTTGCAACTTGATGCCAAAACATGTAAAACAAAAACAAAAACAAACAAGTCATAAGGATGTTGCCATAATAAGTACCTCAATTACTTTCTATTTGGACGTTTGTCTCCCAACATATGAAAAATATGGCAATCAATCTGTAATATCTAAGGGGTTTTGGGTTATAGTTATATAGGTGTTAGCTAATGGCCATGGAATACATGATTAGCATTCCTATAAAGTTTTTTGGTATTTATAACACCTTTCAAATAAAATAATCCTACATCTGGGATTAGGGTTAAAAGATTTTGGGTTTATGAGTGTTAATTTTTTGATTTGGTTAAAGAGTAGTGAAGTAAGAGATTGTTAATGTGTACTTTAAATTTTCCATAATTGTACTAGATAAAAAAAGATATATAATATATTAAAAAAACTTATTTCAATATTGGAGAAAGGACCAGTTTGCTTTATCAAAATATTCATGAGCAATCATGAATATAGTCAAGCCATGCATTTAGGGAATAATGAAGTTTCTTCTACTTGGATTGTCAATTATACTAAAATTTAGTGGAAAAGCCTAGTCTCAAAACTAAAAGTATAATTAAAGAAATTTATCATGGTGTGAATATATCCTATATAAAAATATGGTGAAGGAAATAAATAACTACTCATGTGATTCACAAGAATCATGCTCAATAATACACTAAGTTTATAACTTACTATTAGATACTCATCACAAACAATTCTAGCAATTACATTTATTGTAGAAGGAAGATGATAAATGCTATTGTTTATTATATATAAAGCATCTCTAGATTGCTTTTAGAATTTTTTGTTAGTTTAGATGAAACATATTTAGATTTTTTGTTAATTGCTATTAAAGTTGATGTTAAAGGAGCATAACTTTATGATTGATCTAAAGAATATTGCAAATTGGATATGTTATAGAACTTGAAAATTTATTGAAGGCAATTACATTTTTATCAAATAAATAGAAAGGTATAATTAAAGATGTTGAAAAATCTTCAACAATGTTGACTAATGACTATTGCAAAAACTTGATAAGGGTGCAAGTTACAAAGTTTCTTTTTCCAATTTGTCAACTTCATTTTCTCAACCATTTTTACCTTGATTTTAGCTAAATTCCATTGCCAATGTTTACACCTATTGTACCAGCTTTTACTTCGTCGAGCAACATGTGTTAGCCATCCATCCATAAATTATTAAATTCTCTTTCATTCCCTTCTCTAGGTTAGATTGGACTTAAAATTTAATTACACTTTTACAAACATAAGCAGCCAAGCACACTAAGCCTAACATCCCTTGTACAATAAACTTGATTATAAGACTTTCTAAATTCTAAGTTTGGATGCATTTCTTATTTCAGAACCTTAGGGGGAAATATTATAGCTTAATAGTTTGGTATAGGCCCACCTCCATCCCAAAGGGAAGGTATAAACCCTTAAAAAGGAGTGAAGATCAATGAATTGCATAACACTTAAATAAGATACCACTTCATTTGAGTTAGGAGCACTATAGGCAATTTCCCTTCTAGGGAGTGAGAATTGCTTTTGATCACTTCTTTAAGGGGCTTTTTTAGCACCCCTGAGTTTATGTTCACTCCCACCTGATGCCATTAATCCCCAATCCCAATCTCAATTTAATTTGGAAGTACCACTAAAGAGTTCTTTCAAAATTATGTCTTTAACCTTATTATCTTTATTATACTTTTGGAACCCTTTGCAACCCTTCTTTTAGTTTATACTTAGGAATTACTTGAAGGACAAACTCCACTTTGCTCAATCTTGTTTAATTCTACTTCAGTGCCTGCTAAAGGGTGTCTTCTTTACTACTAGCATTGATAGTCTTTTACCTTTTCTTTTGTTTCTTGTCACGCTTTAGTTTAGGAATGTCTCTAATAAAGCATTGGTTTATATTAATTATCTTTCTAGAGTGTTTAATCAAGTTCTAAATGACGGAACCTTGCCACTAAACTCACTCATTGAAGTCCTCCTTATGGAGGGATTTCTTATCCACAACTTCTAGTTTTATTGGAGGCTCCATCTCTAGAAGAGGTTTTGTATCTACCTTGGTTTGCTTATGCCTTGTTTTAGCCATCTTTTAGTGATTTGCCTTTATCTTTTGTTTTAACTGAGAAAAAGGCTCTGATATTAAATTGTAAGCTATAAATTTTCCTTCTCCAATTTGTTATCTTATCTTATCTATTTGACCATCTTTACCTTGACCTTAATTAAGTTCCCTTGTCAATATTCATGTATATTGTACCAACTTTTATTTAATCCTACTTGGATTCAACCACTCATTACATGAGGAATAAAGTATTAGCAATCCATTTATGGATTTTCAAATTCTCTCTCAATCCCCCTCATTGGGTTAGACTAGACTTTGTAAGCGACTAAATTTTTATTTCTATTTTAGTCACTTAACCACACCTCCAACCATTTGGAGGAGTCTCATTCACAACCTCCATAAGTTCAATCCAGGACTTAGGGCTTGCTAGCCCTGAGAATGGCATCTATGTGACTTAACCTTTGCACTTGGTCTAAGTGCTTCATGCATCTGATCCCAGGACTAACACCCAAAGTTACCATCGACATATTAGCCCGTTACGCAAAGGCCATGCCCTTTCACCTTTGCCACACTGGTGGTTTAACATCACCTACATCACAATCATGTTTTTCAAAGATTGGGTCATCCATCCATGAGTGGTCATCCCAAATCCACTCACTAGCATCCTTAGGATGCTCGCAAACATAGGGAACAACCTTCCCCAATATCTTTTTTTTGGTTCCCACCAAGTCCCTCTCTATCTATGGTTGTGTTTGCTAACATTGCCATTAGATCAAGGACTAGAGCTTTGGACTTCCCAATGGTTATCTCATCACCTAACACCTGGGTACAGCCTTCTTAGGCCAAACTAGCTCTATTGGGGTTGGGGTCCAACCCCCACCTCTCCCTACTATACTTTTAGAACCCCTTGTAGCACCCCCCCCCCCAAGGGGATAATTGCTTTGGGCTTTCACCCAACATCCTATATTAGTATTCGGACTCAGACTCGGACTTGGTCTTGGTCTCGGTTTTGGACTCGGATTCGATTTTGGTCTTGGTTCCATCTCAGACTCCATCTCAGACTCCATCTCAGGTCCATCTTGCACTCTATGTCGAGTCCATCTCGGGCTCCATCTTGGACTCCATCTCGGGTCCATCTTGGACTTCATCTCGGGTCCATCTCGAACTCCATCTCGAGTCCATTTTGGACTCCATCTTGGGTCCACTTTGAACTTTATTTGAGACTCCATCTCGGGTCTATCTCGGATTCCATCTCGGGTTCATCTCAAACTTCATCTCGGGTCCATCTCGGATCCATTTGGGACTCCATTTCAGACTCCATCTCAAACTCCTCCATATGTCATATGTTGGTCTTTTTATATCCTTTTTTTAGAGACTCACTTACTGCTTGCTTCATATTCATTCTCAAGCACTTCGTTAGGAGTTGCACTCCCGTTCTTGACTATCCAAGTTAGAGCTTTTAGTCCAAACGTGTTACTCCTGTTTGGCTTCTACTTCAGCCACTACCACGTGGCATCCTTTCGGCTCCACTTTTGGGGCTTTGGGATTTGTGTCTCACAACTCCACCACCCATAGATGAAGTTCAATGTCCTCATCGAACGATAAACTATTTTATAAAGTAATATTGGCACAAATTACCCTTTCCATCCTTAACACTTAGCCAATATTCGTCAATGGTTTAACATTGAAAGCTCACCATGCTTTGTCCATCCTTTAAGGAGTATAGTCTCTCCAATATTGAGACTTATTTGACCACCTATGGTAGTTCTCTCCCTTTTATTAGTTTAATTCTTGCTAAACCTGTTAGAGACACCTTCTCTATCTCAATCCCATTACTCATTTTCGAATAATTTCAACTTTTATCGATATAATCATTCCACTTTGGAATTTTTAATCTTGACTTCTTAAAGTCAAATTTTTAGGTATTTCTGACACATTTCATTGCACATATTGTGCAAATTCCACTTTATCATCCTAGGAAGTTCTCTACTTAAGGGCACCATCATCCTCTTTTTTATTTCGTGCTAATTTTAGCATTAAGTTCCAGTTATCATAAGTTGTGCTAGGGCTGTTTATGGCCTTATCATTTGGCTACCTTACCGCTCCCTCCTTTAGAACTTTCACTTTCACCAAATCGGAGCAATTGGGAATCTATCCTTG